GCCAAAATTGGCCTTCAGACCCATGTTTAGGCCAGTGGTAGACCCCGAAATAGACCGGAAAAGACAAAACCATTGTGCATTCCGTAAAATATAGACCTTCAATGACCAAAAAATCGCGGAGTTGAGGAATTTTAGGGTGGGGCCTAAAAAGGCCCTTAACGATACCCCTCCTTTGCGTTTTTTCGAGCTCCCCGCTTCGAAAATGATACCATGGCAAAGGTAAGCACTTCGTCAGAGGAGTCATTCCATCCAACCCCTGCTCACAAGGATACTAAGCAATATTCAACATAGTCGACGCCAATCCGCCATAACACATGTGATGGGACGATGATTCTAACCACCTGATAACAATCAGCGTGTTTACATTCACATTTATCTCTTGTTGATAGATATCCACCTTAATGGACCTTGTGCTCTCCTCAACTTGTGAGCGGAGGCATCGGCCATGTTGAGCAGGGGTTGAATGGAACAACTCCTCTAACGAAATGTTCTCCTGTGCTGGAGTATCCTTTTAGAAGCGAGAATCTTAAAAAAACGCAAATTTCTTATGGAGATTGTGAAGTTAGGAGTGCATTTTAGAGTTTGCAGATGCGCTCATCGTGATTTTTGAGTCATTGTCTATAAGGAACAACTCTTATTTTTGCTTCAGCCCACCTGCCTGTTTGCAACAGGCCCATTACAGTGTTCTCAAAATCGTGCAATTTTTTCTTTCCTCTAAAAAGAACTAAATATATGTATGTTATTAATTCAATTTACATGATCGCTCCTCTTTAAAGTTAATAATCTTTTAGCAGAGGAAAGATTTATGTGCTATTTTAGGCAATTATTCAAGGCGTCATTTTTTGCCTTACAACAACTAGGCTTACAACCATGCAATTTCTAAATTTTTAATAGTTTCTTAGAAATTCTGCAGCATTTGATTTGATTTACAAGTAAATGTGCAGTCTTTACGGTGTTTATACATTAATGGCAGATCCCCATAAATACCCATCTCAGTCGAAGTGTTTCAAAATTTTTACACAGTGTTTTATTTTAAAAAATTTCAGGGATTCTTAAAAAGTCATGGGAAAATCGAACAAATCGTTTTGCAGAAAGAAACACAGTACAGTCGTTTATCAGAAAAATAAGGCATGATGAGAAATTCTTTTTGCCAACAAAATATTTTTTTAATACTTGCATATTTGATCGTGGGCGAGAGGTCCGCTCACTTCTCCTTTTGGTGCTCAGATGTATGCAGCAAAAATTTAAACCTTGTTATGAGTACCTATGTGTATGTACTTGGCTCTCAGAGGATAAATATACCATGGACATTTTTCTTTCAGGGATGAACTCTGACTTGTTAATTCATGAGGCAACGATGGAGGATGAACTTTCTGGTGAGGCATTAATTAAAATGCATTCAACGACATCTCAAGCGATTGACATTGGTCGGAAAATGAAAGCAAAGTTCACCCTTCTCACCCATTTCAGTCAGCGCTATGCAAAAATACCCAACTTGACTAATCATTATGAAGATGTTGGAGTAGCGTTTGACAACATGCAGGTGAGAATGTTGACTAGTAAGACATTTTTGTTGGATTAATTGGGCAGTGTCCTCCAAGTTTTCTGTGAAATCAATTTGCACTTGGATCATCGATTGCATCTTTAGATCCAAAGGAACTTCATCATAAAACAAATAAGTTTTGGATAATCAATATAGAATTTACAATGCCAAAGTGAAAAGTATTTTAACGCATGGATGTTAAGTTTGGCAGCTGAGGAAACGGATAGCATATGGTAAGAGCAACAGATATGGATATCTGGAAGAGGTCGGTGGGAATTTCTAGAAGAGATCAGGTCTACAATAATAGGGTGCATCAGGTCATGGTAGTCGAAAACGACAATGTATTCGACATTATGATGAAACAGCCAGTCTGGTATGGTTGTGTTAATAGCAATACAAAAGAAAAGCTACCGAAGAAGATGCATGATTAGGTTCCTCTTGGAACAAAACAAAGAGAACACCCAGTGAAGGAGTGACAACAGGGGGTTTTGAATTAAATGAGGGAGTGCCAATTCCCTGAAGGACTGCAGGAGGATAGGGTGCTGTAGGGATTAGGTGTCTCAGAGCACTGTAGAAGCAGCTCTTATGCATGAGTCATTTGCTTTTTTCTGCAGGGAATATGTCTCACCCTTTTCTTTGTCTAAACATAATGGTTGTAAGTATAGGTATCTAATTAATAGAAGTAAAAGATAGTACTGTAGCCTTGATACCTTAATATGTGTTAATTGAAAGTACTTTGCCGCATGAATTAAAATAAATGCACATTATCAAGGTATCAAGGCTTTAGTACTATTTTTTACTTTTTCTTTGTTGATCGTCAACAGAGGCGTAGGAAGGGGGGAGCCTAGGGTGGACCGTTTTTGAACTTTTTTCGAAATTCCAAGACGGCTAGTGCTAAAAAGTTGCGTTTCGGCATAAAAATAACGCTCAATTTTTTTCAGAATTTTTGGATGATGTCCTGAGCCCGTCCCGACGCCATCTTTGTTGCCAAATTTTCGATTTTTACGAGAAATTTTAAAGACTCTGTTTAAGGCCCGGGAAACGCGTAGAATTAATGAAAATACAATTTAAAATACTTTAAATATCATTTCAAGCGATACAGGTCAGGATAGGACACCCCCAACGCGCAGGGAATGCCTTAGGGGACGCAATCATGGACCCCCGAAATCCCTTAAAAATGCGCAAAAATACTACCTATATTTTATGTTAATTTTCATTGATTCTATTTTGCTCATACTTTGTGTTATGACTTACGAGACTTATCAGTAGACTCTGTCCTACTATTTTACGGCTTACGGTGTGGAATTAGGGTGCAAAGGAGTACTACAGGGATGCCTTATCCCTCAGTAATGAAAAAATAACCACCGGGCTAGAATGGGCCTCTGATCCTTGGATATCACTGGAATAATGTTCCTGTCACCTAAATTGAGTACTTCTTAGTACAGTATGCTCAGACTGATGGTAAGATATAATACAATTGAACACATTAGTAGTTCAATCTGGCAGCAGTGGGTGGCGGTTTCCATGCGGTTTTTTATGCCGAAACGCAATTTTTCAGCACTAGCCGTCTTGGAATTTCGAAAAAAGTTCAAAAACGGTCCACCCTAGGGGAGCCTCCCCCCAAGAATTTGAAATAGTATCATCTGCACCCCCCCCCCCCCAGAAATTCTGTATGGTGCAAAAACACCTTCCTCAACGGTAAGTCTATGTCGCCGTGGCCGGTGAGAGGATGCCTATAAATAGAAAAACCAGATGAATGCAACAATTTCAAAGTATTTTAACCTTAAAATGCATAAATCTGGGTGATTTTTAGGCCAAAATTGAAGGAAGATTAGCGCCACAAGTGCCTCGAGATGCGCTCAAATAGAGTTAAAATTTCAAACATTTTCTGGGGGAGGCCCCCCGGACCCCCCGCTAAGGTGGGGGGTATTCCATACCCCCCAGACTCCCTGGTGGTGGGGGGCCAGGGCCCCCCCAGCAAAATGACCTAGCTACGCCTATGATTGTCAACCTCTTCAATCTGTTGAATAATTGTTGAACATGTTTGAATCAATGTTGAATAATTAGTGGTAACTGAACCAGCATTATTGCAATCTCTCATGACTGCATACAAGAAGAATATTATACATTTTTGTACCAACTTGCAGGAGAAAGAATTTAGAAAAAAGGAAAAAATCCGATTCTTTTTTGATGTTGTCATTTTATCATTTCAGGTAAGATTGAGTGATTTGAAGAAACTGCCTCTGATGATACCAGCATTACAGGTGCTATTTGGCGAGTATTTAGAAGAAATGAAACAAAAATCCCGGAAACGGCAGTTAAGGGAAGAAAAGAGGTATTCAAATTAGACAGGCCAAATTTTTTTAAAGGAAAGTTCTTTTCCCACTGATTCTGTTATTAAATTTCAAAGTGTCAAAAACTGCAAATACTTTATTGTTCAGCTGAATTTTCTGTTTAAGCCAGTTTTTTTTTTCGTTGCACATGTAACTTAAGTATGTAAAAATAATAATGTTCTATTTTATATTCTATGTTGTTTTTTGAAGGCTTCAGTTCCTATCATCATCTATCAGGGGCCGTCCCTAAATTATGTAATGCACTTTTTCGGCATTTTATACCCCCACTCCCACCCTTCCAACGCTTTTGTGATGCAGGTCCCTATCCTGTTACTTGTAAAAACAATATGGCGTTACGCTCTCCTCACCCCCCTCCCCCTAGAGCGGTACGTAATTTTTGGACAGCTTCTCATTGGTAGTTTACGAGAGATTTTAAGTCTTCTCTTTTGTCCAAAATTAGCAGGAATTTCCTTTCAGATCAAAATAATGTTACATTCTCCATGAATGGTACTTCATGTGCTGGATAAGTCAATTTTTCTTCAATGCATAAGATAAAGTACTGGGTGAACTAGGCTCAGTTATTTTCCCAATGTGTTTTGACTACTGCAATAAGGATAAAAAATTTTCAAAACTCAAGTGTCAAAAAAGTGTCAAAACTCAAATGTCACCCTATAAAATCTGCCAACTCAAATGTCACCCTATAGAATCGGCCTACCTTGGAAAAAATGGAAATTCCATTTTACAGCAGAAAAGTCATTATCGGGGACTTGTGCCATTTTCTTTCTTTTTATTTTTTAGTTTACATTGAAAAGGCAGCCCCAAATTCTTTGGTTTGTTTTGTGTGACTTGCTTCCCTTGTGGAATTTTGATAAAGAATTATATTAGGTAGTGTTTTACTAAACCTAACCCAAGCGCTTCAATTATAATTATAGTATGTTATAGACTTTCTAGGATGTGCTTTGGGTTATTGATTGATTGACAACTGATTGGGTCATTGGCAAAGACATAAAGACGGAGTGCTCGTATCTAAAGGCACAGGGAAAAAGTGAAGCCTGCTTTGGCGCTAGGTGCTTGTGTGAGTGTGTAAATGAGCGCGGGAATCCATGGCGGCAAACGAAAATTTGATTTGAGCTTGTCCCCTTGATTTTTCCACAATTCTTCTTCGAAACGTATTTTAAATGCCTAAAACGAATAAATTAAGAAAGTTGGGACTGCGTCCTATTATAATACACCTACTTTTGCTCGGTAACAGGCAGTAATCTCAGATAAAGTTAGTTTTTCTTCTGCTTATGGTGGTTCTGCCGGTTCAAACAGGCTGTTACAGTTGTGGATGACCGTTACTCCCAAATGAAATTAATCGGTCGACGACGGACCAAAACTAACCTAAAGGTATAAAAATATGGGTGTGTAAGTGAATTTGGGCAAAAATCAACCTAGGATACTTTGTCTCCGCAATTTTATTTAGTTCCCGCCCTTGAATTTCAAACTTGTCCCGATTTTGCCGCCAATCCTCTAGCCAATAGTAGAGGTGATTGAAAAGAAGCTTCATTTTTTGCTTTTAGCGCTCCGTCTTTATGTCTTTGGTCATTGATGATTGACAACTGATAAATAAAATCAAAGGCAATGGTACGGATGAGGGATACCCATCAAATTATTTATTTGCCTAATTACAATTCAAATAAAACTTACATAAACAACAGGTTAAATTTACGAATAAAAGCAAAAGAAAAGGATCTTTAACTTGGAATAACAGATAATTGAAAGGCTTTCCTTTTGAAATTTTTAAGTTGCACAAATACGGCAATGAAACAATTAGACTGCATGTGGACATAGATTTAGTGGTACTTCCTATAGATGTGATTCTCTGAAACAAAACAAATTTCAATTTAGAGGTAAAAAAAAAAAAAAAACAAACAAACAAACTGGAACAAAATGGGCATTGAGGTATTTTATATATACCAATGTTCCATTCTTTACAAGGATTCAGAGTTCTAAAAAAATTGTGAAAAATTGTAAACAGGACTTTTTATTTGTGGTTTTGTAAGGATTAAATCTTAAATGTGTAAGTTTTTAATGTTGAAATAAATCACAAGGCAAGAAAAGTTCACACCAACAACTAGAGAGTTTGCATCTTTTACCAAGCTTTAATGCAAATATGCCAAGTTTTTGAGTGATCAAGCTATGATTAGTTTCATCACTATAATTAAAAAGTGACAACAGTGTAGTTTTACCCATTTTAATATGGTACACAAGTAGTGCACAGACTGCCTAAAAACTAATTCATTAATTACCCTTAGGAGAGTTAAAAAAATCAGATGTGAAAGTTGACATAAGAAAATAAACCTACAGCATGCTTGTATTATTTATTTAGACAATTTTCATCCACTTTTGATTCTTCTGAGAAAAAATTTCAGAAAGCAACAGGGGTGGCAATGACTGCATTTAGACTCGTGATAAAAAAAAGGAAAAGAACAAACTTACGAGTTCTGGGGTAGTTGATCAAATATCCAATAATTGCTCCTCCGATTATAACTTGGAGCGGGTAAGCAGCGTTACCAATACGACAGTGGTTGAATCTACGATTCCAGCGCCAGTATGCTAGGACAAAATCAGACTTGAGTAAAAATCTTGATAAAAACAGCTGATAATAAATCACTAAACAGGATAAGAAATCAATCATCGCGATCCACGTTTTCTCATCAAAACTCAAGTGCTATAGTGAGCACAAGACAATTTTTCCACATTCAACTTGTTTGTAAGTAAATAGCATTTTTTTGTGTACATCTATTCAAGTTCCTCACTCACAAAAGTCGAAGTCTATTGAAATCAGATGAAGTGCAGAACTACTTTGTTATTGTATTTTATATGCTTTACACTTGAAGAATTTTTTCTGTTGCACCTTCATTTTCCTTCAGTCCTAATGGCCTTGAATGAGATCCAAGGGATTCTAGAAGATCAGGCCTAAAGGAAAATAAAGATACGCCATTATACGCCTGATACAGAGCATAGTGTTTAAATTAATTATTTCTGTCAGATAATCATTTCTTTTGAAGTTTACAAGTTTCATAAATTAGATGCGCTGTTGGTGCAATGGACGGGTATGTTGTTTGTGGAACCATAACTGTTTCTACATGTGCAAACTGTTAGGGTAGGTGGGGGTAAGAGTATGCACAGGGTAAAAGTACGCACCGCACTTTTTTCACGCGCTTTGTTTGAATTTATGATGGCACCGGGTGTGGTTGTTTGCAAAATTGAGTTTCACTTGTTCAGGAAGTTTTGTTTTGTGCAAAGCGTATGTGTATTGACAGAACTATGAGGCAAGTTCACTTTTTAAGCGAAAAATATCGATTTTTTTTTTAGTATTTGTACTGTCTTTTGTGAGAAGAATAGTTGATGGAAAAAATCGGACAGGCACCATATTGAAGTGTTATAGTGTTGGCTTTAATCCGTAATTGTTTTCACACCTTGGGCTCAAAGTTTTAGTTTATTTTGTCAAATGTTTACAAATGGGGCAAGAGTACGCAGCCAAAATGGGGCCAAAGTACGCGTCCAAAAGTGGAGGGGGGGAGGGTTGTATAGGAACTTCAAAATAGAAGATGTAGGCAACTCAGTATCTTAATAAATTTTTGTGTTCCTTTGTTCAATTTGGGCGATTAAACATTTTTCTTTTCCTGTTCAAAAAAAAAATTGACTTCGAAAATTATTTGGGAGTTTGTGGAGACTGAATTATTATTTTTTTTTTTTTCACAGTAAAAGTGGTTAGGCACTGTTGGAACCCTTTCAGGCCAGTTTTAGTCGTTTTCCAGGATTTAACAGCAATTTGGAGCCCAGGAGATGTTTCAGGGTGTCTAGTATTTTTTAATATTGAAAAATCCTTATATTTTCCTAATTTTTCATGATATTTTATAGAAAATTCTTGATTTTTTCATTTTGAAAATTACTGATATTCTCCTGATTTTTCTCATAAAAACTATATTTATTGCATAAGTACATGCAAAAACTAAATTTTCTGATAAAGTTCTTATGATTAGAAACTAGTAAAAAATGATATAACGCAAGTAAACGTCGATCACTCAGACATGATTACCTGTATCTGTTACTTGCACGTACGTCTCACAAAATGCAAACGAATTATGAATAACTTCAAAACTTTGATAAAAATAGTGATTTGTCGGAGTACAGGCCACATTAAAAAAAAAAAAACATAAACTGTTTCAAATAAAATACAGGTGCTGAGGATGGATGGAAAATTTGGATTTTGCAAAGACGGCGACACTGCAATGAGGCTTTCACTGTACAACACAAGCGCTGCGGGTGAGAAATTATCGGAAACAAAGACAGCGCGACAACTCCTAGCACGGTCCGCAAAAAGCAGTAAGACTTCTCTGCTGAGGAGATTCGAAAAAGAAAAGATGAGACATATTCCTGATAAAATATCCGATTTTTCCGATTTTCCTGATATTTTCCAGTTTTTCCTGATGCTAGACACCCTGTGTTTTAAAAAAAAAAAATTTCACCTGCTCACCAATTTTAAACTTTTTTTTTAGAAAATTCGCCACAGCCAAGGATTTGATTTCTAAATTCGGACAACTCAGGGCATTTGTGCACGAGGGCTTGCAGTAGGTGCCTGATCACTTTTCCCGCTTTAAAAGTCGATTTGGTCATGGAAATACGGGAAAAACCAAAAAATGCGTACTCTTACCCCACCTACCTTATTTGCGGGGATCTATGATTGGTTGAATGCGGCTTGCTGTTACAAGAATATACAGGTTATGAACAAGAAATAAATGGAAAAATTTACAAGGATTCAATCCATAGTATTTGAAAGTGCAATTACATACCTCTACTGAGAGCTCCAACCACAGCTGAAGGAGACTTGTTGCGTCGGCCGAACCAGGCTCCCAGCTCTCCTAATTTCACTTCACTGAAGTACGTATCCGCTGAAATAGAAAATTGTGCGCATAGACCTCAGTGAAAGAAAACAAAGTTTTTCAATCATTGTGTACATTAAATTGTGAGAATGTCATTTTAACTCTAGAACCAGGTGATAACTATAACTTGTACTACTTGTAATAAGTCCATAACTGATTAGCATATTAATTTAGGTGATGGTAGCATTGGTGCGGAACAAATACTTAGAACTGAACTATTCTTTCGACACAGAATGCGCTGGCTTCAGTTGTCAGTTGAGTCCAGGCTAACTGAGTTTGCGCTTTTTAGACTGCGATACAGGATCTGCCATCTTGGTCCTGCTGTGGCGTCAGATGATCCTCTTACACAGAATAAAAGTGCGTAGTCTTATTTGGCAAAGACTTCACACATCTACCAACATGCATTTGGTATCTTTGTTGTTGAAGTTAGAGCCGTTGATTAAATTAGTGAGATATACTTACTATAATATTAAACAATTGCTGGAAAACAAGTAATTCAACCATTTATCACAGCATCGACTCATTCTTGCTCATCATGAACACTAAAGATGTGTAAAACAACCTTTCCAATTAATCCTGAGTCCTTCTCAGCTCTGCTTTCCATGCTGAGTACTTAGGTGCTTGGGGAGACGCTGATTTTATTGGTAAGAAATTTCAGATACTAGACCAGCAGCCTGATCGTTGAAATTTATATCGGCACGTTGTAAATCAATACATTACACGGCACAGGTAGGTCTATGTCTTGTCTTATCCTACTGACATAGCCAGTTAACATTTCAACCAACATCGCATTCGATACTGATATCGAAACAGCACTCGAATGCGAGGATTTCTCTCTAAAAAAACCACGCCTTTATTATGTTGAATTTTTTTGTTAAAATTGGTAAGTGAGTGCTTTAGTCTCCTGACAACAGAATGGCGATCTCAAAATTCGAGAAAAATGACGAGTAGCTGAAAAAATGGAACCAATTGCCGCGATATATTGCATGCCGTTCTGACACAAAATATGACATCCATCGAATCACCTTAATGAGGTCTGAGTGCGGTAATGCAGGAACTTAGCCTGGGACTAAGCCACTGACTTCAGTCTGTTCGTGATAACTGGAGAGAGTATTGGTGGCATTTTGAAACTAGATTAAGGAGCGAAGAGTGAGAGAGGACAAATGAAAATTGGCATGACAGAAGATTGATAAGGAAGGTTAAACAGGTCAAAAAGGGCTGAATCAAGGATTTTAGGACTTACGTTTTCCATAGTAGCGAGCCGGATCGTAAGGTCCATGGACTTTTCGATCATATTCGAGAGGATAGTCTCCAAGACCCATTTTAGAGTGATTTACACGAAATGAATAAAACTGAAGACAGTTCGAAGGCTGCTAATTGCAAAACGCCTGCCCAGTTTCGGTGAACGGTGTAAGTGGTGGAGCTGATATGTGATAAGCCGATGATTGGTGATTCAGAAAGTAAACACTGAACCTTTTCCCTGCAGTTCCACATCACCGAAAAATATTCCGGATGGATTCGCAGCACCGAAACTGAAGTCCTTTTTCTAAAATTAAAATGGAATTTCACAGTATTATTTTCCTAATTTGTGTGTTATTATGCTCGGTGAGCAAGTGTTTTTGTTACTTTATCACGGTAGATGCCCATGCAGAAGAATGCTTTTTCGAAAAAGTAGAGATGGGAACCAAACTGGGTAAGTTCTAAAAAAATCCCGTCTCTTATCCTATCTCATCATTTTTTAACCATTTCATTCGCCAGAACAGAATCCTCTTAAATTTTGAGGGAGCTGATAACGAAACCGGTCAAAATTATCGCTCTCGAGTCATCAGTTTGCTCGATAAGCCAGTCGACAGTATTCCTGCTCTGGTGACTACAATCTCGCATCTGGCTTTAATCTCGTTGATTACATTGACGATAAGCCTCGAATATAATTCATTTGAAGCTCTCTGATTGATCTATCATACCCTGGCAAAATAATATAATATATTAATAATTATTAAATCCCAGATAGCGTGAAATGTTTGGCCAAATGGCATCCTTCGCACCCCTGCAAAAACAGATGACTTACATGGATGGTGAAACTTCCGAACCAATGAACCATGTAAGCTGCGTTGTTGAAGTAAACTGTTGGGGACAGTTAGGCAATGGAATTACCTGATTCCAAACACTCGGCGTTGTTCGACTTCCATTGGGATTGCCCGATGACCTGGACTGTTTACCAAACGGAAGTCAACAAGTCATCGGTCTCAGGAGGTAGTTGAGAGCGTTGAGCTAACCTCTAAACGATATTGTGCACGCGGTGTCACATTCAAAACACAACAGTTTTTAGTCAACAGAGATGACCGACAACGCGTTTTCCAACGGGTAAGTAAGTCAACGATACGTGATATCCGTTAGCGTTGAGCAGCCCAACGCAAACGGAAAGTTTACTTTGACAACGCATCTGTATCTCAGTTTGCAACATTGCTAACTCCTTGTTCTACTTTATTTTTCAAATTAAGTACTACTCAACGTCTGTACTTAAAAACTTCTATGATTTTTCTTCTCTGTGTGAGGCAATGCTGAGAAAACTTCAAGGAGTGATGTTGAGTTTTTTTCTTTTGAAGAAATAAAACAGAAGCGGAGGTTTTTAAACTTTGAAAACGAGATGCGTGGTGTGGGAGTTTCATCGTTAATATGCTAAAGGTCTCTGATCTATCTATGTTAGATTGTTCACTTCCTTCATCCTTGGGGCTGGTATCACGAGTCCTAGGAAATTTATCGGAAGTTGTAAGTACAGTCAAATGTAATTGCTTGTCTCACCAGCTGTTATAAAATAATAAGAGACATCCTTTAATGAAGCTGTAAAATGAATTCCATGTTGTTCTGGTAATCTATACTAAAATTTTGGTAAGGATGAGTCAAAAGTAGGCGCTGAGTAGTTGAAAGTAGTTGACTTTCACTAAAATTGAAGTTATTTTGTCATCAACAGCTTTTGTTAAGATGTATCTATTTATTTTTCAGGTTTGATGTTTGAAATATCGGAAGGAGGTTTTCTAGATATTGATATCAAAATAATCGGTCCAGATGGAAAAATTATCCACCAAGCAGAAAGAGAAAGTAGCGGAAAGTTGACTTTTAGTGCACACATGCCGGGTACCTATACATACTGCTTCAGCAATCAGATGTCTACGATGACTCCCAAAGTGGTCATGTTCAATATTGAAATCGGCGAGCCGCACAAGGAGGTCGCTGCAGGTGAAAAAGGTATGTATACCTGTCTCCTCTTTTTACAATGGCTTTATTCACAACAGAGGCATTGCAAGTGTTTCAACTGTAAAGAGTCAAATTTATTTTCTAGAGAAAAAGTTAGAAGTGAACTGATAGTCCAGAAGACAGGTTAGCTCTTCAGGCGATAATGACTTACAAAGTTATCTTTTTCATTTTTTTCACCTGAAAGTATTTGCTGGATCTCTCACTCAAAAATTGGTAATACTTCTAAGTAAAGGTAGCTTCAGTTACCTCCTCTCTGTCCAAATTTTTCAACAGTCAGAAAAACTCATGAGTCAGATTGAGGTAAGTAAGCACCATGAGAATACTTGGACACCTCTCAAATTTAATATCGTAGGTATAGGTAATGCATTTTTACTAATTTTGTCATGACTCAATTCAATTAATCATGAATACGTTATCATTTTTCATTTATTATTAATATTTGTTCTGTTATTTTCCACAGGAGAAGCTAATAAAATGGAAGAGATGGTGAACGACTTAAAGAACTCACTCCTTTCTGTGAAGAAAGAACAAGAGATGGCGTTGGTCAGGGATCGAATTCATAGAGCTATCAACGAGTCCACAAATTCAAGAGTTGGTTACTGGTCTATATTTGAATCTCTTGTGCTTGTTGTAATGACTGTAGGTCAAGTTTATTATTTGAAACGATTTTTCGAGGTTAGGCGGGTTGTATAATTTGTAATTAAAAGTGGTTAATTTTTTACTTTAATTTTTATAAATACTTTGTAAGTAATTTCTATTTTCTTCATTTTCGAAGTTCAAACCAATACCTACCTGTATCTTTGTACATTGCTCTCCTTTTTTTAATTAAATGTTTGTGAAATTAGACTCTTTGTATCAGATATTTTCATTTGAATGTTTAACTTTAGTACAAATTGGTTTATGACACGAGTTGTGTCAATGCTTTCAAATGAGTATAGGTATACATTAAAGACACTCAAGATAACTTTCGAATTTTTTCCAAAATCAATGAGAGTTGCAAAAACATATGTTCCTCCACACCATGGGCTCAAAACGTGCACAAAATAATTGTCGATACCCCAAATATATCCTTCAAGTAAGAGAGACAACAGAACGCCCAGTGATGAAGGAAAAGTTAAAACCTCCTCGCTTCATTTCTAGTTTTTTTACTTTAAAAGAAAAAAATAACTTTTTCCTCGTTACAGTCTTCCTGTTTTAAATAACAAACTATTGAGTTAAGTATGGGGGAAAAAGTATGTTCTTACAAGGAACACCTATTCCACCCTTCTAAGTTTTTCCCAAGATCATTACTATTTGAGGAAGAATCAAGCAATGAAGTACCTATCACAGATCTGAGCACTCTCACAGCACCTCTTTTTTATTCAGAAACCAAGTAGCACGAATTTCAGCAAAAAAAATGTCTAGTAAAAATCCAGTTGGAACGAATAGTTCAATGAGAAATTGACTCTGAGTTGATATAAATTTCTTAAAAAATCAAGGGTAAATAAATGACATGTGGAATACTAATTCTACCCCTCTAATACTTTTCCAAAAATTAACACTGTTTTTAGGACTTATCGGTCAAGAGATTAGTTACAGGGGTGGACAACTGGATTACTTTTCCACTTTTTTTTCTTTTTTTTCTCTTTTTTTTACCCACATTGGTATTTAGAGACAAGCATTGATCGACATAAAAATTATAATTTTGTTAAGCCTGAGAGAGCTTCAAAATATATAGTTTAATATAATAGGGATTCAGAGTGCTCAATTGCATGTTGCAAAGTTTCACTTGAAAATGCATTGATTATTTACTCATTAATGATCGAAAATTTTCTCCGTGATTTTTCGGAAATTTTTGACATTCAATGTTTACCCCCTAACAAATAAAAAAGTAAGTTCTCAGACGAGACTTTGAAACGATGCGATGCTGTTAAGCCCCTTTGGCCGTCTTTCTTTCCCTTCGTCCTTTCCTCACCACTTGAAGAAAATCCTTTGAACATCTTGTGCTGAAATGACGAGAATATAATACTTAGGTACCTACTCTCGTAAAAAATATAAGGAAAATTTTGAAACACCGAAACTGAGAAACAGTATAGTAAAAAGTCCTTGAACAAGTGCCTACCTATCTTCATTACAGATTTCTGGTCTTAAGTATTTAATTTCCTAAGGGAAAAACATCAAACACTATTTCCTCACTTTTACTTACCTATCCTTAGAGACCCCAGAAATTCGTTCGCGCAAATTTTCGAAAAGTCGTCTTTAAGGTGATTCGGCGGTAGCCATTTTTTGTGTCAGAGCGATGTGCGCTATATTATATCGCATCAATTCGTTCCATAATTTCAGTTCCTTGTCATTTTTTTCGAATTTTGAGATCGCGCTTCTGTTGTCATGAGACTAAAGAACTCATGTACCTTTGACAAAAGAATTCAACGTAATAAAGGCAGGGTTTTTTTAGAGGAGAAATATCGCATTCGATACCAATATCGGAACTGCACTTGAATGCGATATTTTTCCTCTGAAAACCCCCTATTTAATACCCTGGTAAAAATTGGCGATAGGAGCTGCGTTTCATAATACCATAGGAGTTCTTATGGCCAACTAAAGAAGGCTATTGAAAATCATATAGTTGGCTGTAGAAAGCTGAGCAAATCATACAGCCGGGCTATACGAAGCTATAAAAAAGTATACAGTCGGGCTATAGTTCCTATCGCCTGGTTTTACACTTTATCGCCATTGGCTATAAAAGGCTATAAGAAATTGTGTAGAAATTCGTGTGCTTTGGAAAGCATTATGTTTGATACGGAACCTTCTTAATATTTACAAAACACACATTATATTTTCCTTAAATTTTTTTTTTTTTTTTCATCAATTAAAATGAGAATAGTCCATACAGAGTGTGCAAACATTTCAAAATCATGCGTTGAAAAACGCTGACTCCGCGAGATTAAATATTAGAGCCTAACACAAAGCGGAGCGGCGACGCGCTGGCGCCTACAAACCTAACCGGGATACTTCACGCATTGCGCAATGCGTGAAGTATTCCTATTAGGTTTGTAGGCGCCAATGCGCGTTTCGCGCTCTCTGCCCGCCGGCCGCGCCGCAGCGTGCCACGGCGTCTGAAGCAACTATTTCACACCAGAGGTATTGCACAGTATCATAAGAAATTGAAGGCGCTCTAACATATTAAGAATGACAGGCACTCTTCAAAAGTACGGAGCGTTCCTCTTAAAATAAATCAAGATACTACGGCACAAAAAGAGAGCGGTAGTCCAAAAACTATCTAAGTCCTAGTATCCGTATTTAGTAACGTTTATAGCATAAACTTTATCGTCTGGCTGTTGCTTAGTCAGAAGCTATTGGAAATCTTACAGCCGGCTTTAGGTCTATAGTATTTTGGGACACAGATTCTACTGCCAATTTTTACCAGGGTAGGTACGTTGAATTTCTTTGTCAAATTTGGTACGTGAATTCTTTAGACTCATGACAACAGAAGTGCGATCTCAAAATTCGAAAAAATGCAACAGTGTATTTTCTTCGGAGAATACACTACAAATGACAAGTCGCTGGAATTATGGAACGAATTGATGCAATATATCGCATCGTACGTTGCTCTGACGTAAAAAAATGGCAACCGTCGATCTGTCGAATCACCTTGAGTACTTGGACCAAGCTCGGAGGCCTCATGGCGTTCCATTGATTTCGAATTCGCGAATTTCGGCATTTGACACGAATTCGCCAGTTTCTACCACAAATTCGCGAATTTCGACGTAATTTTCCAGCTACAGCGCAATACCGATCATTCTAGTGGGCAGGACGCGGGAAACTTCGCGAAACTCCGGTTTCCCTCGTCGACCAATCGTAGATATGCAGGGCCGGATTAAGGGGGTGGCCACATGGGCCGCGGCCCATGGTGGCAAAATTAGGGGGCGGCAAATTTTGCAATTTTCCTAAATGCAGGTACAAAAAAATCGGATTCAGAAAAAAAATTACCAACAAGAAAAGGTGACAAAATCTCTCATTTCCTGAGAATTCATTAATTTCTAATTTTGTCGTATTTCGGTGATACAAAAGATTGCGCACCTTTAATTAGTTGAGTTAAGTGAGAAACCAAACACGTAATTTGGCCTGAAGCGGCGCGGCGCGAAGAGAAATGATGACGAGGACTTGAGATGAAAAGGAGAAGCCCTCGACGCGACGGTCGGCATGTAACACATATTAGCGCCTACGAGACTGCATGAATACTTCACGCATTGTGTCAAACACAGTACGGTCAACAGCGGTCGGCGCGGCGTGAAACGCACAGTGCCTACAAGACTACATGAATACTTCACGCATTGCGCCAAACACAGTGTGGTCAGCGCGGCACGGCGGCGGAAGTTAAAAGTATTAAACCGCATTTATGTTTTTTCTGTCTTAATTTTCTAGTTCATTTCCTACAAATGAAAGGCCTTGCCCCCGCAGAGATACGTTTACGGAACTGAACTTTCGCGCGAAGTTCCGTGAGCTTTTGCTAGTAGTGCTGACAGGGCTTACGCAAAAAATGTGTCCAACACAAGTGATCGCGTCGTATGCACCCTTCTCCCTCCGGCACGTTCTTCTGGTGGTTTTTATTGATGTTTCAAAATGAATGAGAAGAGGGCGGCAAAATACAAGCGGCCCATGGGCGGCAAGTAGGTAAATCCGGCCATATGTAGATATGTGCTGCAAAGAAAATCCGAATTCATGATCTTGATTTTTACTTATCCCGAAAAATAGTTTCCAAACCGTACTTAAAATCTCTAAATTCCTCATACTTTCGTTTAAAATAAGAGATGAAAAGAAAACGCACATTTTTAGGAAGAGTTTTTGGATTTTCAGTGAGAATTTAGTGATTATCAGCGACAATTTTAGGATTTTCAGTAAGACTTCGAGGAACGTGGTAAAATTTAAGCAAGAATTTGGCTGTTTCCCGCGAGAATTTTGGGACTTTTAGCCAGAATTTGGGTCATAATAAATCACGAGAAAATGGGGTTTCTACAGGGCCCAGAATAGACTCTGTAAAAATTTTAGACCAAAGTTCATATTTACCTAATTTATTTTATTTTTTTAAGTATTTATTTATTTTTAAAGTTAAACAGCAGTGGAGGTTTTGGAGCATCGCAATTTAGCTCCTGTTCTGCAAGTTAGGTATACTTAAGCAGGCAACCCGTGTAACATTTTTCTTCTATACTTTTTTTTTCTTCTACACCGTTTGACCATGTAGCAGATAAAGATGTTCTAAAATGGGTTTACGGTAGAGGCAGAGCAAGTTCTTCTACATTACTTCTGCAATAGATGAAAGGCTACCGGTGAATCTTCTAATGCAGAAGAAAATTAGAGCCGAAATAGAAGATCGCTGTCTCAAGCTCATCCGGAGGAATCCGGGGCTTCTCAGCGATATCGTAGAAGATAAAAACGATGTTGTCAGAAGAAAAGTAGCAGCTAAATCTTCTTTTACAATACATTGGAGTAATGGGCAAAAATAGAAGAAAAAATATCAGATAAACTCGGTCTACACCCGGGTTTTTACTTCTAAATTTCGGTATACAGTGGCAAAAATAGAAGAAAAATGTTACACGGGAAGTACTGTGATGATTTGCGTTTTCATGCGGTCTCGCAGTCGATATGTTTAAACCCTAAATGCAACTATTACAGTTCGGTGAACGTGCCGTGTGGTATCTTCTTCAATTGAAGGCGATTTATTGCACTGTGCTAAGCGCATGATGTGAGCAATACGATGCATGCTGTCTTTTCGTACGTAACTAGGCTGTTCAACGGCTTTTAGAGGAGAGTACGATGTACATGCTCGATTATAGTGGAAAATCATTGGTAAATATGTATCTATATTATTCGCACTTCCAGAGTTTCATTCTCAACGCACTGTTCATTCTTACACGAGGAAGAGGTTTGACTGGAGATTTTTTCGAATCAAATTATTCGGAAGAATTAGATTTTGTAGGAGCATCGTTCGGCTTTTAAGTGAGATTAATTTCAATTCTAGGGGCGAGAGGGATACCTAACATTGCAATGCAAATTCGTTGCAGGCATTGCAAAGTTTCGTTCGACAATTTCCTCACTTACTGTAGAGAGGTTTGCCGAGAAAGAAGTGCCCCTTTTTGTAGAAACGCAGAGAATTCCTTCCAATCCATCCAAAGCGCATTCGTGGATCCAGAAACTTCGACCGAGGGCTGTTTGAAGGGGGTCCAGGGGCTCCCCATGGAAATTTGTCGAAATTTAAAAGCATCTAACATCCAGTTTGAGTCAATTTCGTCAAGAATAATTGCCAAATATTAGCGTTCCTCTTTACTTCCTACGTTCCTTCCTGTTTTCTTTCTCCTCTTTTTTCCTCCATTTTTCGGTCAAACGGGGGGGGGGGGGGGGGGGGAGCGGACGCCTCCTACGCCCTCTGGATCCAGCTATGCCAAAGCAAAATGTTATGACAAGACAATCTTCCAAAGAAAGCTGCAGCTCGAGTTCAAAGGTCGCTTTGGTAAAACGGTGCTGCAAAGTTTGCATTTTTTACCATTGAAAATGCCAATAATTTGAAGTTGATCCGTTAAAAAAATAACCCGAATCAATGTGTTTTCTATTTTCTCGGACACGATTTCATCACTTGATGATACTCGGGGATTGGGACCGTTGTTGGCATACGATGCCAATCAGCATTAGCCATCGCATTCAAGTGAATTACTTAAACCGGTCAGTTAATTGAAATTAGATCAGTCGAATTTTGAAGGAAACTCGATTTTGAGAGTTTGGGCGTCACCCCTCTGTTCGGTTACACGACAAAGCCTAAAATAAAGGTCAGAGAAATTGAAAAAAAAAATCCGAATCGTTTCAGTTGGTCGCGGGTGGAACCAAAAATAAAATATGAAGGCTTCATTACGTAATAAAAATCCGAGATTACAATTTTGGTTTGGCGGGATGATGAAAGGTCACATGAATAAAAATGATGAAGTTTCAGGCAGTGGCGTGGCGTGCTTTGCGATCTATCGATATTTTCCCATTTGAAACTGTGGTTAATAATCGATTATCAAGGTCTTCACTGCGAACACCTTGATAATCGATCTTTTTCCATAGGTTTCAACGGCAGATCAATCGACTTATCGCAAAACACGCCACTTCAGGTTCGTACCCCCTCTCAAGGTCGGATTGATGGTGTAAGTCGGCAATCACATTACTCGGTTTGCGACGTCGCAGACTTCCTGTCATACTTTATTTTTTAAACGGAAAACTACTCAACGGCAATTCTTGAAAACTGCGGTTATTTTTCTTCTCTGTTCGAAGAAAATTCTGCATAAACTTCAAGGACCAATGATGTCAATTTGTCTTCCTTTAAAAAATCAACATGGAGGCGGAGATTTTCAGGCACCGCAAACGAGATATGTGATTGCCGACTTATACCGTCGGTAAGTCGAAGTCGTGAGGTTGCCCATCAAGCGCTTAGGACTTCGCGTCATCTTGGAGGCAAGGACAAATGAAACGCCTTCAATCTATTACTTATGCAACATGGACAGTCGTTCAGCACGAATAGTTGCATTCAAGTGTTGGAATCACGGTGCATTGCGCATTGCGCCATCCATTGACTGAGCACACCATTCCTTTCTATTCCTTTCTTCATTGTTCTATTCTGGTGCTCTGCTTCTGCATTTTTTATTGAATAGGTGTAATTATATTCTTTATTTCAGGTATAGGGGCTAAGTTTCAGGATTTAGAGTCGGGCAGCAACGCACTGCCGTGATAGCGAAGAGAGCAGTAAGTGCACGCTGGGATGAACCGCGAGACACATAAGAGCATGTCGACGGTGAAACTACCAAACCACGTATCTCGGTTTGCGACGTCGCAGACTTCCTGTCGTACTTTATTTTTTAAATGAAAAACTACTTAACATCCAGTCTTGAAAATTTCTGTGATTTTTCCTCTTTGTGCGGAGGAAATTCCGTGAAAATTTCAAGGAATGATATTGACTTGGTCTACTTCACAAAAATAAAATGTGAGCGAAGATTTTTAAACACCGCAAACGAGATACGTGGTTTGGTAGTTTCACCGTCGATGTGCTAATCATCAGTGGCGTGGCGTGGATTGCGATATGTCGATTGTTATGCCATTTAAAGCCATGGAAAAGGATCGATAAACAGGGTGTTCGCAGCGAACACCTTAATAATCGATTCTTTACTATAGTTTTAAATGACATAACAATCGATACATCGCAATTCACGCCACGCCACTGCTAATCATGGCTCGTACAGAAAATGCACTTACTGCTCTTCTCGCTATCACGGCAGCGCAGGGCGTTTAATTCCGTAGATGCAAGCATCATTGCGTCAGCCTTACGCAAGTCTATTCTTCCGTGCTAAGGGAGAGCGTCGGATAAGTATTCGAATGTTGCCAAATTGCTGCCGATGAAGTATTTATTTCCTCAGAAAAGTCAAAGATCTTTTGCTTTGAGATTTACATTTATATTCGCTTCATTGTATTGCGAATATAATATAATTAATAAAATAACGACGGTGTAAGTCGGCAATCACATACTCGTTTGCGGTGTCTGAAAATCTCCGCCTCCATGTCATTTTTTTAAAGGAGAACAGAATAACATCGTTCCTTGAAGTTTTTGCAGAATTTTCTTCGCACAGAGAAGAAAAATCACGGAAATTTTAAAGAATTGCCATTGAATAGTTTTCCGTTTAAAAAATCAAGTATGACAGGAAGTCTGCGACGTCGCAAACCGAATTATGTGATTGCCGACTTACACCGTCGATAATTACTTATAGGAGAAAAAATTAATAAGTTTTTAAGAATATCCTTATATTAATATATTGGAAAAATTTGAAAACATCTAAATACCCGCACGGCATTTTCCCTGTAGCGTTTAGTATTGAATACATTGATGGCCAAAGTGAGAAAACCCTTACCACCGTTTGCGATGTTCCAGACTTCCCGTCATATTTTATTTTTTGCTTTAAAAAATTAGTCGACATAATTTCTTGAAAACGTCCCTGATTTTTTTCCTCTATTGTCAGAAAATTCTCTATACATTTTAAGCCATAAAATTGGCCCCTTTATCTCAGAAAAATTAAATTATGAGCGGAAATTTTGATACATCGCTATAGAGATTTGCGATTTTCTACTTTGGACCTCGAGATTTTTAATAGTTTGATAATAAATCCATTATATCTTAATGCTCTCTTCTTTTACTGCCTTATATGATCCTTATTTTATTAGGTGCCTCTGAAGTATGCGTCGATTTAATGAACTCAAGCTTATATGGCTAATTTGATATGGTTCCTCGGGGAAAACAGAACTAAGTAGAGTTCTTGCATATTTCCAGTTCTACCCCCTATGAGAAATACTAACTCTATAACCCTCCTATGAAATTTCTTGGCATATTTCGCATCAAGTGAAGCGATTGCAGAAATCCGCGATTTATTGATCACGCAAATTAAGATATTGCTTGGACTGCATTCTTGAATAAAAACCTTTCATTTCTGGTCAAATCTAGAAATGTCATTTTTGCCGCACGCCAAAGGTTGAATAGGTGATTTTAACAATGAGTCAGAAATAAAAGTCCCCCAAATTCTGCCGTGCTAAGGGAAAACACCGTATGTACATCCAAGAGTTGCCAAATTTCTTTTCTTCAGATATTGATTTTTGAAATAAATAATTAATATGTCTACTTGAAATTTTCTGATCATTAGGGCACATTGCGAAGAAAATTCTCTGGAACATTGGGCGGAAGATTTTCACAATTTTCCCTGAAAATTCGTATTTTACAAAAAGAAATTTGGCAACGTGCGAAGGTTCATACAGCGTACTTTCTCAGCACGGCAGTGTTGCCTGATGCAGCCCACTTCACTGTCTCATACCTATACCCTTTTCGTTGAGTGTTGTAAATGAATGGAAAGAAGTGAACACCATATTCGGTTGAAACATCATTTTAATAAACTTTATTTTTAAGTACATTATTTTAATTTCTCAACAAAGAATTTTTTACATTGATAAAAGAGTTTTATTCGAAATTCAAACATTCTGTCAAAAGTTGATAGAACCTGCTCATAATATACTTCGCCTCTCTCCCTTCAACCCCCCCCCCCCGTTATATTATAATCCTGCCCTTTTTGATGAGGGACTTATTTTTTTATGTCTCGATTAGTAATTCNTCATTTTAATAAACTTTATTTTTAAGTACATTATTTTAATTTCTCAACAAATAATTTTTTACATTGATAAAAGAGTTTTATTCGAAATTCAGACATTCTGTCAAAAGTTGATAGAACCTGCTCATAATATACTTCGCCTCTCTCCCTTCAACCCCCCCCTCTCGTTATATTATAATCCTGCCCTTTTTGATGAGGGACTTATTTTTTTATGTCTCGATTAGTAATTCCTCCCGCGAGTTTTTGCGACCTTTTGATTTGACACCAATGCTGCCGCGCTAAAGGTCCAGTTACACGATCAAATTGAACCATCAAATTGGGCCTTTCATTGGTCGCATCCTCGCCTCAGGTCTTTTTCCACCAATCAGAGCAGAGCTTCAATTTGATGGCTCAATTTGATCGTGTGACTGGACCATATGGAGAAACACCGCATAAGCCGTTAGGTTTTGCCAAATTGCCTTCGGGAAATCATTCATTTTCAGGAGTAATTGTGAATATTTTCCCTTCAATTTCTCAGATAATTTTGTTTGTAATTTGATCTGAAGTGTATGAAAATTTCAGGGGAAAATATTCGTAACTTTCCTAAAAAAGAAACATTTTATCGGAGGAAATTTGGCAACTTTTGAATGTTCATACGGTGTTCTTCCTCAGCACGTCGGAATGCGAGTTTTTTGACAAATTCATAGGTTCAGTCGCACTTTGAGATTTTTATTACTAGTTGAAGGACTACTACACAAATATGTGAATTTAAGCATTCTTATATATATTTCCAGCTTTAGAATTTCACGTAGAAAATGATTCGTGTGATGAAAATTACTGAAGTCAACTCCTGGTCACGATATTGACGTTTTTAGTTTACATTGATTACGTGGGAATTTTCCTCTGCTTAAGTACAAGAAAAACTAAAGTCTATTAAAAAAAATCACGCACTAGCTACAACGGTTTTGGCAGGCGTCTTAATAAAGCAATTTTCCATCACCATCCTGTAGGGTTTAAAGTGTTAAAGACGTGCGACAGCTGAGGTAAAGTACCAAGTTTGAGGCTCCGTTATTAACATACCCGCAGAGACTGTTGTAGTTGCGTTTGTTGCGCATCACGTAGACCTATATTTTTTTCATGTTAAATTACTCTTAGTTAAAGGTTGATATCAGCAATCTTTGTTGTGGGAATCGTGTTTTAAGTGAAATTTATTGTATGGAAACATGTATCAGAATGCTTTGAGTCCGCACCTTGTCCGTGGTCAATTCGGAAAAACTCTTTCTTGAAACGTAAGACTTAAATTAGCGGGTCATCAGCAGTTTCAACAGTCCAATCATCGATGAGATCGATGGTCATCGGGCCGCAGGCATCATTGATTAAGTTACCGATGACTCATCGGAAAAATAATTTGAAGAGTATAAGAACTATTAATTTTTCATGTTGTCTCGCGTCAAAATGTCTCGGCTCAACAAAGAAGAACTCGCCTATAAGTATATTTTATTTACAAAATCATGTCGTTTCTTTCACATTATGATCTTCCTCTACATCTGACTCGCCACCTAAATAATTTTTGGCTTTTTGAACTAATCGAAAAGTTTCTAGAAATTCGTTCAGGTCAACAAGACCATCTTTATTGATATCCATGCTTTTGCACATATCCATCACTTCGTTCTGCGGGCTGTTCAGGTGCTCCCCGAGCAGTGAGCAAGCCTCCTCAAATTCTTCGAGAGAGATGAAACCTGTAAACAAAATCGAACAACTATTATTACCGCAATAATTTAGCAAGAAGATGAAGACATCATGATATTCTGAAATTAAGAACCTAAATCTGATCTTTAAAGTGAATGAATTGTAAAATCAAAAGGCTAGATAGAGCAGTTACAAAAAACTAAACGTCCCAGGCACACTAGGTCAGTTTCCAGCCTGATGTATCTACACTTTTTTGGTTTCAGGACATTCCGTCAACGATTTTTTGTCCGCGCACCTGTTTTGTCCGCAATAGTTTACGTCCACGCGAAAAATAAGCAACATTGACTGGGTCCAAGCGTTGTATTTTAGCCCATATGTAAAATTATATCGACAATATCAAAATGAGATAATGGAGAGAGGAAAGTGCTATTATGATTTTTTTTTTTTTTTTTTTTTTTTTTTTTTTTTTTTTTTTTATACACCTATTTTTTTAATGAAGATATTACTCTATTTTAAAAGCATTTATATTTTTAAAATGTGGCAAATATTTGTAAAATTTTTCCCAGCGATGGCATCGGTATCAATCTCAATGAGTCGTAGTTGGGTTGAAAGGAACTATACAAAAATGAATAAAAGAGAAAAAAACAAAGAAGCACGCAATCCTTGGTTATGACCCATTTGTACATCGATCTTTCAGAGTCAAATACGTCCAATTTTGAGCGTTTGGTTGCGCGTACACCACGCTGCAGCACAGTAAAATTACAATATATAAAAGAAAAAATTAAAGTGCTTTGAAAATCATTAAATTTGACACGGAAAAAACTTAATATTTACGAAATACACATTCTATTTTCCTTTCACACATCTTTTTTTTTCATCAATTCAAATGAGAATAAACTATGCAGAGTGTGCAAATATGTCAAAATTATGAGTTGAAAAACGCTGACTCCGTGAATTTAAATATTAGAGCCTAGCGCGGAGCAGTACGGCGCGCGGCGTGCTGCCGCCGTCGCGACACGCACACCGGCGCCTACAAACCTAACAGAGATACTTCACGCATTGCGCAATGCTTGAAGTATCCCTGTTAGGTTTGTAGGCGCCAATGCGCGTCTTGTCCCACGTGCGGCGCAGCGCGGCGCCTCAAGCGACCATCTACAACGGAGGTCTTGCACAGTATCATACGAAATTATAGGCCCTTCAACATTTTAAGAATGACAGGCATTCTTTAAGAGTACGGAGCTTTCCTCGCAAAATAACTGAAAATCGTACGATGAAAATAGAGACCGGTAGTCCAAAAAATCACTAAGCCCTGGCATCCGTATTTAATAACGCTCAGCATAATTTTTTAATTTCATTAGCGAAAGAAGTGACTCGATTTAGGTAGAAACATTCTTCAGCATGCCGTCAAGAAGATTTTATTTTGAATCAAGAACAAAATAGCTGAATGTAAGCGGGTTTCAGCTTGATGTAAGTGACGTTTCTTCTTATGAAAGCTTCTTTTCGTCTATGAACAATCATTATTTTCTATGTTGATCTCTTGACTATTGATCTATTAAAATCATCTCGGCGGTAAATTTGAGCATATTTCTGCTTGAATCAATTAACTTTTTCCTCTAATGAAGTCGAAAAATCATGCTAAACGTAATTAAATACAGATACTAGGCTTAAAAACGTCGTGAGCAATTGTCATTTGTATTTACATGTGGACCAATTAACTTTGGGTCTCAATTGATAGTTGGACCAAAACTCGACCCCTGCCGAAAAAACGCGTGAATGTAAGTTACTAGAAAAAACAGATGTGCGGACAAGAAATCGTTGACGTAACGTCCTGTAACCCACTTTTGTTTTGATGACATTGAATTTTTGACGATTTTTAGGCCGGATATGGCTACGCGAGGGCGAGATGGATTTCAACGCCTGCGGACTGATTATTGAAATTGATGGACAAAGCTATAGACAAAGAAGACATATGGAGTATGGAGCGATCCTATTGGTTGAAATGGGCGGTTCCTATAGACAAAGGGAGAAAACGATAGACTAACTTTCGGGTCTCGACGATAGTCAATGACGGTTTTCTTATTTGATTCTTGTTGGTCCAATTGTTCCCGGCCAGAGGGAAATTGGACAAATGAGAGTCTGGTATGAAAATCTTTTCATTTTTTTTTTTGGCCGTTCTTTCGTCGAGGAGGGCCTAAGAGAGGGCGGAGCGCCCTCTGGGGGTTGGGCCACGTAGCGGCCAGGGGGCATAGCCCCTTAGTATATTAATATGAAGTCTATTCCCACATCAAGAAAATGCGTGCCACTATTGATTGTTTTTCTTTACAGTAAAATTGAGGATGACACAATATTGCAAGCAAAAATAATTATAGTTTTCGAGAATTTTCTTTTCACTATCATGAGATTTTTGACACACGAGGTGTTGAATTGTTCAACTTTTGATAGAGATCTTGCGTTTGAACTCGTTGTTCCTTTTCATTCAGAATTCCATTCGTAACAGTATTCCTCTTCCCTTTTTGCACTGTGGATCGAGTCAATCAAAGATAGGTCGGACATGAAATAGTTTACTAAGACTGCAAATTTTGATGTTTAATTCGGCACATTTTAAATTTTGAGGGATGCTCCTGGTAAAAAGTTTACGAGAAAACCAATGGAATCACTTTCGGAACCTCAAAGTTTTTTTTTTTTATAAACGGAGTTATAAGCGCTTAAAGTTTCCAAATTTGGTCCGACCTTCCCTATCGACTCGATCCATATTGTTCGTCGTCTGGATAGTACCTACATGAAATCCACTGGCTATTTGCCAGACTTAGCCCGATCAGGCACCAGTTTCTGCGCGTTCTCTTCGGGTCAAGAAGACGTAAAAATTCAAAAAGGTCAGTAGTGCCACACAATTAAAACAAGAAAAGCTTCCAGCACGATATGTGATCGTGAAAGGCTATAGAATATCACCCTGGAGGACAAAGAATTTGAAGTCATAAATTTTTTACCCTGCCATGAACGGGAGATAAAACAGGCGATAAAAGCGTAATAAAAGCGACGAGATTACCTGAATTATCTTTGTCTATAATTCTGAAGATTGCCTCCAAACTCGATTTGTTGCCGTACAACGTCTCTACTACAGTCAGAGACCCATCCTGTAAAGATAGAGGAAGAAATATGTATGAATGGAAAACAAGAGCGGCACAATTGAATAAATGCGCCTACCAATCATATCGTGTCGAGTGTTTTTTTTTTCCTCCCTTGTGCTCATTATACTTACAAGCACTAACCGACATACTTACCAACCTATCAACATATCGACGCGATGCAAAAGCATAATTTAACTATCAGGGGCCAAATTTTTTCGTCTCTTTCACATGGAGGTGCAACATCCTCCGACGAGTCCAAACCGCACCACCGGCCAATCAGATGCGCTAAGCCGAACTTAAGTGCAGTCAGAGGCGAATGCAGCAATTCGGCAACAATGGATTTCCTCCATTTAAACATATGCCAAATAATCGATTCTCTCAGCTTTGCCGCAGCGTTAGTTTAGTTGCTTAACCAAACCAAACCCAACGTAGATTATTGATTACATTTCACGAACTCGCGAGTGTGCTAGCTGGTACCATGCATTCAAGAAGAAGGGGATGACGTATGTTTGAATTCAAAGCATAGTAATCACTACTTCCTATCTCGTTTTTACTTTTTTCACTTTAAATTTTTTTAATTTGTTGATTCACCACGAATAGATTGCAATTTGCCGGCGATTGCTCATTGCCTGCGACATATATTTAAGTACGGTGGAACCAACAAAAATCGGCCCTTGTGCTACCGTTTGCCAGATTTTACAGTAAGATAAAGATCAGATAACGATGTTTCACGAAAATCAAATTTTGAGGGATGTTTTCATATTTTCAGGGGTACTTTTTCGAAATTGGAATGCAGTACTTTCTCTCTATAACTAGAACTAAAGGGACCGGCCGAATTCCTCGATTTAGAGAGATTCTCGTTATAACGATAGCAGGTATTTAATATAGGAAGTTCAAGGGACCGACCGATTTCCCCGTTACAGAGAGATTCTCATTATAACGATAGTCTTTACAAAGAGGAAGCACTGTATTTCTAACTCAGGCAATTTTTTAAATTATTTTCAGGGAAAGAGCCGAGTCTTACTTCCATTCATCGTTTCAATTGGTAATTTTTTATGGACGTTTATGTGGTGTCTATTTGAATATAAAGTCGTGTAATTACTTCAATTTTTAGTTACACATTTTTCTGATACGACTTTTATATTCCACGGCCAAGAAAAATTCTAAGAAATGGATCAAAATACGCTAGTATTTTTCAACTAAATTCAATTCCAAAGCGTTTCAAACTGGAAAAAAAAAAATTAATCAATTCTCTTACATTTTTTATATCAAGCAGCATCCAATTTATTTATCCAAATGGGCCTGTTGCATGCAAGAGATACAGCCGCGCGATTAGACTTTTCAGAGGTTAAATGACACGAAAATTACGATGGTCACATTAAAAAAGTCCGAGATACACTCCTTACTGCGCAATTTGTGTTGTTAGGAACGCGCTTTTTCAAATTTCCCGCGCCTGGGGGCAGTTTTCTAATCACCGGAAACGAGCAAACGGCGGGCTCGGTGATTTCCGGAAGATGCCGAGTCGTTGTTGTTGTTGTTATTTATTCCTTCAGTTTGTTTACAAACCCAACGTGATCTCCTACAGTGGTCCATATACGCTTTATGCGGTAACCAAATCGATCAACTTTTAAATATCCAACGCAATCCTTCTACATTTCATTTCACGATGTTACGAGCTCCGATTTTTAGGTTATGTTGTCAGTTTTAGTTGACCGGAAATAGCCGCGAGTTGCAGTTAATTGTTTCCGTTAGAAAACTGCCCCCAGACGCGGGAAATTTGAAAAAGCGCGTTCCTAACAACACAAATTGCGCAGTAAGGAGTGTATTTCAGACTTTTTTAATGTGACCATCGTAATTTTCGTGTCATTTAACCTCTAAAAAGTCTATTCGCACGGCTGTATCTCTTGCATGCAACAGGCCCATTCATCCAATTTTTCATCCAATTTCTTATATTCCTTTTTTATTCAATCAAAATAGAAATCTATTTAATTTTACTTTTTTCTCCTACATTATAGGCGAGATCCTTCATTCGCTGCACAAAGCACGTTTACTATTTCTGACTCACCCATTAAAGCACCTATCTGCATATGAAAACTAATTACACGCGCGTTGTTACAATAATTAACGAGAAATATCAGTTTTCTATCGCAAAATATATAGTCCAATATCAACACCAAACCGTCACATATCCCAAACGAATCCTCGTCTATGCGTAAAATCAAGCTAAAACTATCCCAGCTCAAAAACAACGACTCTCAAGATTATGGCCTCGAATCAACTTGATCCCGGTAACTTTTACGTTTCTTTCCGGTTGTTTTTAGGTCGCAACTTTTTGGCCGTCTCCGCTAGGCAGAAATCACCGAAGACGTAAAGGGAAAAGGAGATAAAAGTGGGTGGCGTCATGAAGCTTATCATTGATATCATCGGAGGAAGACCGAATCCGACGAGGTTAAAACCAAGCAACCCCACTTTTTGATGAGCCCTGAACTCCATTAGAATGCGTGCATTTTAGGGTCCATCGGATGGAACACGTGTGCGGTTTGAAGATCGACCGATTCGGATAATGTAGCCATTCGGCGGTGACGGACCATGAGCAATACTCGAAATCCTCTTGCGCGAGCAAATAGGAAATTGGGTCATATAATGAGAAATTTGACAACATGGTTGTCGTTGCCGATTTGTATAGGGCTCATAAAATCCGTTACGAGGCGTGAAGCGGGGCCTGCGGCGTTGCCTTTTTTCGTGATAAATTCCCGTTTTAACGAATAAAAGGGGTGTAAGGAGTCAAGAGAGGTTGGAGGAAAAATTCGTGTACATGCTCGAGTAAACGCGTGAGTGATCGGCTATCGATATTTCCCCATTTGAAGCTGTGGTGAAGAATCGATTATTAAGGTGTTCGTTGCGAACACTCTGTTTACCGATATTTTTCCATAGGTTTCAATGACAGGTCAATCGATCTATCGCAAAGCACGCCACGCCACTGGGGATAGGTATCATTCGGGGCGGTGGAAGCCCAAAAAGTTTAAGGGCGTTGCATCGTTGGCGGAGGGTGTATTCTCGTTTTTTATTATACGACGTGTTTTCAGGTCATTTGTTTCTTTCCGGGATACGGGGATAAGAGTACGTTGTATTTTTGGATTGTTCTAGGGAGAAATGGGAGGTTCTTCGTTTGATATTGGTATTTTTTCCACGGAGCGTTTTAAATCCTTTGTCGACGGGTAACTGTAAAAGCGCGTATCTTTATTGCGGTGTTTCAAAATCTCCGCTCTCGTCTTATTTCATCGAGAAAGAAAGAACCAATAGCATTGCTTCAAATTTGCGAAGAATATTCTTCACCGAGAGAGGAAAACTGAGGAAAGTTTTCAAGAAATGACGTTGAGTATTTGTACTTCCTTTGCCATTTAAAACATTAATTATGACAGGAAGTCTGCGGAGTCACACACCAATATACGCGTTTTTAAGTTTCACCTTCGATATTTTTCAGGAGAAATTGTTGACTTTTAATTTAAATCTGCTAAACCATTTTTGGTGTAAAAATTCTTATAATTTTTTAATATTTTTTTCTCTTGTATTGACGTTTTTCTAAGGGATATGCCCTTATTATTTGCCTGATTATATGGTTCTTTTGACAAATGCCTTTTGACTGAATCTCTTTCAGAGAGAGTTATAAGACAGAAGTGAGATTTTTCTCTTTTGACATAAAATGCCTGGAGTTAAATAATTTGAGATCTTGAACTGGATATATTGCGTGCGAAACTTAGTGTTAATATTGCGTCTCGTAAACGTGAGCTTACTTTTTTCTCCGACAGGAAGTGTTCAATTTTTACGTGACGCAGTAACCGTGACGTAATCATATAATGCTGCTGTAACGAGGAAGAATGCCGTATTAGTATTCGCATGTTTTTTTCTTCCGTTTTTCAAAACGCCTTCAAATAACGATGATACTCCGCAACACACCGGAGTTCGAATAGTGGTATCACGGAGACTTGCTTGTGGGATATGGAATGTGAAAGTTGAATTGCGTTTAGCAGCAAGAAACTATCAATAAGTTTTTTGGGAGACCCATAATTTAAACTTACTTATCTTACTTATCTTTACACCTTGAAGTGAGCCACATTGGAATTGGTTCTATTTGATTTTATACGAAAACGCCACAAAATAATAGTTCGATGTGAAACAGTAGAGGAAAAGAGTCTAACAGTGTAAGGCTAAATTGTGTCAAGGAACTAGCAATAAGTCTAATACGTGCTGAATTCAGTCGGAAGGAACACATTTGGCCACACAAGTCACAATTTGGAAAAAAGGACTTAGGACCAAATTTGGTAAAACTAGATTTGATTTCGATTGTATATTTTCTCCTGTCAAAAATTGAAAGCCGATAAAACATGTAATTTGAAATTAGGCTTTGCACTTTATCTGTAAATTGAGGCTCCTCTAGTTTGGTTTCGGTTCCATTCGATTGAGGTACACTTCGTTCATAGAAGCGGGGAAACCTCCTTTGTGAACATTACACGACCAACAAACGCAAGAGAAAAAATCCCTCATTTTAAAGGTTTTAAATTTTGGTCATAGAGAAAGAGAAGTTACGGAAGAAACGACGGCAAAACTGTTGTATCAAATTTTGCCACGACGTAAAAGTCATGTTTTTATTTTTAGGAGATCAAAAATTGTTAAAGATCACTACTGATGATTTCATTAAGTATTTTAAATTTTTTTTATAAAACACTACAGTGCAGCTAAATTTATTGGCAATCACAGTGATATGGGTCAAGGTAGCTCTTTAAATATATAGGGTAAGAATGATTCGATTTTCAATCGAACAACCAAGATTTTTACATTTTCAATAAAATAATCTTTGAACTTTATTTAATGTTCAGTGTTTTAATTGTAAAAATAAAAAAAAGTTTATGATAAAATTCTTACTCGTAATTTTAAAATTTGGCGAATCGAAAGCAAAACGTCTTGACATATTCATCCAATTTCTATGTCTTCAAAGTTGTCGCAATCTATTAATCACATAACTTACTTTCGAATAGTTTAAGTTATATCTGGACTTTTGTGGGGTAGGGATGGGATGGGAAAATGAATAAAAAAATAATATATTATAATGTAGAGACTTTTCATGGACCAAAGTATATTTGTGGAACTCTGGACGTAAAAGCGGTATCACCTTCAAAAGTTTGTGAGAATTTTAAAATTATCTTGCGGCTGAAACGTACACAAATCGCGTATCAAATTCTGCAGTTGACGTCAACAAAAGACGGAACGTCAATAAAAGCATGTCATCCGTTCCTCTGCATTTAAGGTGATTCAATGGACGCCATATTTCGTGTGGAATAGAACGGCATGCGATATATCGCATCAATTGGTTCCATTTTTTCAGCTACTCGTCATTTTTCTCCAATTTTGAGATCGCAATTCTGTTGTCAGGAGACTAAATCACTCACTTACCAAATTTAACAAAGGAATTCAACGTAATAAAGGCGTGGTTTTTTTAGAGAGAAAATATCGCATTCGAGTGCAGTTTTAATTCCAGTATCGAATGCGATGTTTTCTCTCTAAAAAAATCACGCATTTATTACATTGAATTTCTTTGTTAAAATTGGTAATAGTGAGTGCTTCGATCTCCTGACATCAGAATTGCGATCTCAAAATTGGAAAAAAATGACGAGTAGCTGAGAAAATGGAACCAATTGATGCGATATATCGCATGCCGTTCTGACACAAATTATGGCGTCCATCGAATCACCTTAAAAAAAGGTAATTGCAGTTGTTGGGAGCTCCCACTGCGGCGTTCAGGTTCCGTCCGTCCGTCGTGAAATGAACAAAATATTATTTAATTTGCACGCCGATCCATTTAAATGCGATTACAATAAGGTCAACCTCTATGAAACATTCGACAGCATTCATTATCCAGGGTGGGCAGGGGATGCAGCAAAAAAGGTGATTCATTTCTATTCACTGTGAAATTCAGATTTATAACTATATCTGTTCGTGAAAGCATTATTTTCGCTCCGCATAAAGCGAAGCGACTTCGGCGGGGCGAAATATTTATGAATGTTCGTTATAATAATTGGCCTGACGTGACATTACTCCGAATGAGTTATTCTACGGGCGTCCTTTGACATGTAAACTAGACATTTCAGCATCGCAAAAGCACTCTTGAATAAAAATCAAACAGCACCTACAACAAAGCCTCGAATAATTATCGGGAACGGAACGGAGGTTATATTTTTGTATTCTTTCATTTCTCCAATCCTACGTCATCTTGTTTTTTCCTTTTACTTCATTTTCTATTTTTTCATCGAAAAATATAACACTTATCATTTTCATATACTTAGCGTCCGTCCAATCCAGATTTTAAGTTCGATAGCCGTTGTAAAAAAATCCTCTGATAGGTTGTAAAGTTTTATAAGTCATCCGTGATTTTGAAGCTATGGATTTTTACCATAGTTTTGACTCGTTCTCTCACATTCAAAAGAGACTGAGAATTTTGTGGAAACAGAGAGGCAGAGAGGATTAAAGAAGAAAGGAGAGGAATTAGAGGAAGTATTTAACTTTAACATTTTAGTCTGGTTTGGATGAGTTGAAAAAGGCAACAGCCAAGGTGTTACATAGTGAATTTCTTTGCATCGGTCTGTTTAGGTATTAGGCCCATCCTCAGTCGCTAAAATCTACCAAAGCATTCTTTACAGATCATGCGTCAACACTAAATCAACAATCACTAACGAAATCATAATAAAATTTATCATGGGGAAAAAAAAAAAAATGATTGATTATTTAAATGTACAGAAAGAGATACGCAAAAGTATATTCTGAGTTTTTTAATAAGCACCGCTCAGGTTGTTGATAATTCGGAGCGACGGATAAAGGGAAGTAATTGACTGAAACTCTTATGCTTTTTAGTCACCTAAAAATAGAAAAAAAACTCAAAATAGTATTTGGCGTCTTTAAGGCATTCCAAAATGTCACTTTGTTGTAGGTTTCAAATTTTGAAAAAAAAAATTCGAAACTTGACAACGCGAGGGGTATAAGACGTTAAAATCAAGTAAGGGGAGGAGGGTGGAGCGAGGAGCGGAAAGCTAGGCTCCGAGGCGATTGAGAGATGGGAGTGTGAGAAAAGGTCACTTACGCATTGTTTCCACGGAATGTCTTCTTGGAATGTGCTTTTGTAATTGACTTTTCCGCTACCCTTAGGGTCGAGCGTAACCAACTTATCCCTGAGCAATCTCCACGGCAAGTTGAGTCCGGTCGTGTTGTCCATCGCGCGGCACCAATCGGCCACCGTTATGAGACCTGAGGGCAAAATAGTCATCGAACCGGCCGTATTAGCTCAAGGAATGGACCACCAGGCACGGTCTGAACTAGAAATTACACTGAGAAAAAAATCCTTACGAGAAAAAAATCGTGTATTTACTAAGAAAAGGGTAAAATTACCAAGAATTCTATTTGGTTCTATTTGATCCCAGTTTTTTCTTGGTAAAATTACCATTTATGGAATTGGTAATTTTACCGAGAAATCTCGGTAAAAAGATTGAACTTTCTCGGTAATTTTACTGGACCTTGATAAAAACGCCAATATTTTTTATCGACTGTGGTAGAATTACCGAGATAAAATGGCAAAGTTACCGGGGATTGATTACCAATAAAAGTGATATTCTTACCTGAAAAAAAAACAGTAAAAATACCGGTTTTTAGGTAAGCTCACTAGTGTGTTTTGGTAAAATTACCAATAATTGTTAAAAATAAGTGAGGTAGTAAAGGTACCAACGGACCTTGGTAAAAACGCCGAGAATTTTTTTTCAGTGTAACATCACATACATTCTCCTCTAAATCTTTCATAGAGAACAGATCAAATTTAGAAATTTTTTCTCAAATTTTTGATGGTGTGAAAAGAAGAGTTGTTCCAGAGAGAAAATTACATAAAAACTACGATGAGCGTATCTGAAAAGTCAGGAATTCACTTCGAACTTCACAAGATGCGCGAACATGAAAATTGTGCACATTTTTTAGCTTTCTGCTTCAGTTCAGACAATATATATAGTACGACAGAGACATGATTTGACAAAGATCGTCATTTCTTTGACGTAAGGACGAATCTTAACTTTCCCGTGAGCCATGTCGACCTTATAACTCCATGCTTTACGGGGCTCACGTGGAAATTGAGATGTACGCCCTGACATCAAAGGAGCGACCGGATGAGTCACACCGGTTTCGTGAGGTTAGAATTGGCAAACAGATCTGACGTGAGCTCTATAAGCATTTTCAAAAGTCCGTTTGTACATTGATCCGTTCAAAATCGACTTTCGATCATTTTCAGTGAATGATGGCTTTTCCTAAAATATTCTCTCGCGATAGGAGAGTTATGCTTCTCGCCGGAACTAGGAACAGACCCGAGTAAAAAATTACACGCCGCACGGTGGATCACATCAATAAAGAAGTCGGATAAAATTCGGCAACTTTAAAACCTCATAACTCAGCTCATATAAAACTTTGAGTTTTATAAAGTAGTCCATTGATTTTCTCGTGAAATTGTCTTCTAGAAGCACCCCTTAAAATTTAAAATGTGACGAATTAAACAACAAAATTTGCAGTTTTACACTGGTAAAAAAAACCTCTTGGACCAATGCCGCGGTGCATTGACTTAAGAGTGCAGTATCTTGTCGCCAGATTTAAGAGTCTTGAACTCTTGTTTCAAGCGGATGTTGCATTGATTCAATTCAAAATCCACTTGAAACAAGAGTCCAGACTCTTAAATCCGGCAACAAGAAACTGCACTCTTGAACCAAGAGGTTTTTTCTACCAGTGTAGTCAAATGTCATTGGATCTAGAGTCGAGACTCTTAAAAACATCGACAAGAAAAAATACTCTTGATTCAATCGGATTTTTGCTTGAATCAAAAGGAACTCCGCATAAATCAAGATGCTTGGCTCTTCGATTCAAGGAAAATCCGATTGAATGAAGGGTATCTCTTTTTTCAATGTTATTAAGAGTCTGGACTCTAGATCCAAGCGACTTAAGTATTTTTCCAGTGATCGATTGTTCTACCCTTTAAACATATCGACGGTGTAAGTTGGCAATCACATGACTCGGATATTGCGACGTCGCAGACTTCCAGTCATACTTTATTTTTTAAACAGAAAACTATTCAACGGCAATTCTTTAAAACGGCCGTGATTTAACTTCTCTACACGAAGAAAATTCTGCGAAAACCTCAAGGAATGATGTCAATTTGTTCTTCTTTGAAAAATAAAATAGAAAGATTTTCAGACACCGCAAACGAGTTATGCGATTGCCGACTTACACCGTCGATATGATAAAAGATCGACTATCAGGGTGTTGCAACGAATGCCTTAAAAATAGATTCTTTCCCGTAGATTTAAATGGAAAAATATCGATAGTCGGTAATCCACGCCTCCAGGGCCGGATTTACCAATAAGCTACATAGGCTATAGCCTAGGGCGCAACATTCTGAGGGGCGCAAAATTTTTGAGAATTTTTTTTTTTTTATTTATTAATTTAACAAGTCTTTCGTTACTTTTTATTTTCCAAAACCAACTTGCAAACGTTAACGTGCCTCAAAACTGTTTAAAATCGTGTTTTTTTATTGGTGAATTCGAACATTTTCCTGACACCTAACATCCTCCTTCTGATCTGGAGGAGAGGGGCGTCTAAGAGAAATCCCCCCCCCTCCCCCGAGAGCGCCTACTTTTAAGGACGCCACCCTAAGTTTAACCTATGGCGCTAAAAATGAAAATTCGGCCCTGCACGCCTCGCCACTGATAGGGAGCACTCTCATCAAAATCCCGTATCTATTCTCGATCCATCGTGCGCCGCAAAAAAGTTATCAGCGGGAGAAAGTTGGCGAAGTTGAGGCGAAAAATCAGTCTGCGTGTGGTCGCGGTCGGGCTGAACGTTTTACGAGAGTTTAGAGTTGGCCCGGATTGAAAACTAAGCGGTTTAATTGAGAGTTACTTGAGGCAACCCCAGCAGGTGAGCGCCTTTGACATTCTTGCGTGGAGCGCCCTACCCTCGCCGGCGACTCTTTGTAATGAACTTTCGGCATGAAGCGACCCAATTACGGCCTCATCAAAGTTGTGCCCCGACTTCGTCAGAACTTTCGACCTGATGGACCTAATTGCCCGTTGAAGGGCTATCATGGAAGCTCCNGGGGGGGGGGGGGGGGAGGGGAATCTCACTGTGAACCTCTGTCAAACAAAACGCTCGAATCCAAAATCATATCAGTGCCCAAACTGAGAAAAGCGCTGAATGTTTCAGACGTTTTGATCTAATTTTATTCATTTACTGGGAGGCTGACCCCTTGACCGCTACGCGGCTCAACCCTCGAGTTAGGTTATCGGCGACCATACTGATGATTGTGTGGAGAAGTGGCTCATTCATTTTCTGTAATTTTAATGGAAAGAGAATAAGATGTTGGAAAAAAAATCTCCTTGAAAATTTTAAAGTCTCCTCCAGAGATGCGTAAACTTCCCGACCACCCAACCGGCCCGCCCGGTTTGGTGGTTGTATGAAATGGAAGAGGGCTGCCAGTCCGGAAAAAAGGGATAATCTCCGTGCGAAATACGGCGTTCTAGCGGGTAGAAGTCCGATTTTTTGGGTAAAAGGTTATAATTTCTTTGTATTCATGAAAAAGCGATCATGAGGTTTGGCGAAAAAAAGGAAAGGTTGATCGACTTTGAAGGAACGCTCAGAACTTTTTGGACCCCTAGCGGTTGATGGTTGACATTGATAGACAAAGCTGTATAGCAAAAGAAGAAAAAAGACAAACGGAGCGATCCAATTGGTAGAGACAGCTGGTTGCAATGGACAAAAGAGCTAGAGATCGACTAGCAAACGGCAACCCACGAGAGACATATTATTGGATTGCATTACGCAAAAAGGAACCAAGAGAATTCCAATGATTACAGAATTGTGCAACTTCTTGGCAATAAAGGTATTAAATTCATGCAAAAAATTAAATTTACAAAGGTAGCCTTTGTCTTAAATAAATAGTTTATTATTTGGAGTAAAGATAAGTTTTATTTAGATGATCAGCAGTTCATACATATTGCAAGGTGAAAAAAGTTGCACAACGTTAAAAACATTGGAATGTTCTTAGTTCCATTTTGCAAAATACAATCCTATTAGTCCATCATTTTCTCCCTTAGTCTCTCAGAACGTCCCGTTTCAACGAATAGGATCGCTCTATTTTCTGTTTGTCCTCTTTGTCTTCCGCTCTATCCATCAATTCCAATAAGTAGCCCGTAAGTTTTCTTCATAAAAGTGTGTATGGTGTATCGACGGTGTAAGTCGGCAATCACATAACTCGGTCACAACACGGGGGCCCACTTGCTCTAACTGAGAGCCCATCACTCATCGAAGAGAAACCGATTGTGGAACCGCCTTCAACTGGGAGAGTAGGCAAAATGGGCTCCCGGGAGTTCGAATAGTGGTATCTTTAAAAGATGTAGGTATTTTAATTAAAACGAATAGGGCTCAGAAGCTGCAGTTTAAAGAAAACCGACGGTGTGAGTCGGCAATCGCATAACTCGGTTTGCTACGTCACAGACTTCCTGTCATACTTTATTTTTTAAACGGAAAACCATTCAACGGCAATTCTTTAAAACTGCCTTGACTTTTCTTCTCTGTGCGAAGAAAATTCCGCAAAAGCTTCAAGGAATGATGTCAATTTGTTCTCCTTTAAAAAAATAACATGGAGGTGGAGATTTTCAGACACCGCAAACAAGTTATGTGATTGCCAACTTACACCGTCGATATGGCAAATACTTTAAAAATATTCAATTTCAATCCAGACAAGAGTATTAAAACGTTTTGCGCTTACCTAACCTACTGGGATCGCTCCGCTCAAACTCTGTCAACAATCTGTCCTTACACGAATGGATGATGCCTTGGAGCTCTTTTATCGCCGACCGCTCGATGACGCCGAGCCTTTGTTTGAAAGACAGCATTTTGTTATGTGTCCTCGTAATAGTGGCCGCGTTGAACTGCACGAAGTGTGGATCCAGATCAGGCCCCAGCAGCTTCATGTAAGCACCTTTGTTCGAACCCGTTTCGTAATAGTTGGACGCTGAGAATATTGTTATCACCTGAAATTTCACGTAAGTCACATGGTCCTGTTACAAATTTCAGCTAGCGTGAAAAGAAGGGTTGTTTACTAAAGAAAAATGGCTCAAGAATATTTCGATTAGCGCCTAGGAAAAGTTTGAAATACACTCCCAACTTCACAATCTGCGGGAGGTTTATACGTTTCTTGAAGCTTCGGAATTTTCTGCTTTCGAGGTCTTTGGACATTTTTTGCGAGCCTTGAGTACAATTCAACTCAAAGTTGCCAGGTTGTGCACTTAAAGTGAGATACATAATATGGGTTTAAATTGGGAATAGTGGTGATTTTTCAGCACAATCTGGTAACAATGATTTAATTGTATAACTTTTGAAATCGATCCTTAGGGATTACAATGATTTTCCTCTGCAAATAGTTCAAAATACGGAGGAAAAATTCTTTGATTTTGACAAACTTCGAGGTAAATGCAAATCTGTCTTAAAATTTATAGAACTCGCAAAATATTTTCTTTAGTATTTTGTGCTTTTTGTGGTGGTGAATTATTATTGTAATCCCTAGCAAGGGCCCATTTCTAAAAGTGAACTGCTGATTTTCACTCGACTTCCACGAAAAATGTCCTTTTTATGATGTTGTTTTGAAGTCTTCTTAACGTCTTCTTTCATCACAATGTAGGTAAACCTTACGGGGTTACCTATACGGAAAAGGTATGTTTAAGGTACGACTAAGCTGCCATGCAAAGGAAGAACGCCTTATGAACATTTGAGAGGAGCCAAAATTCTATGGATAAATCAAATAGTATGGAGGATAATTGAGCATACTTTAACTTGAAATTTTCAAACATTTTAGAACAAATTGCGAAAAAAATTGTATGAAAAATATGAAGAAAAATATTCGCAATTGTCCCAGTAAATTCGGTTTTTATTAAAGGAAATTTGGCAACGAGTGATGGCTCAAATGGCGTTTTTCCTTAGAACGGCAGTATGAATACCACCCTTAAACTTTCCTAGCTTCGAGAACGGCCGATGAAGCTGAATCGAATTTCGATCAAGGGTTGAAATATACATATAAGCTGCGTACCTTATTTCCGTGCGTGATTTCATAACCGTCCAATTTACACTCGTGAGACCTAACTAAGTAACTGAGATTATGTTTCTCTAGGAACGAATTTGTGACGTCAGGCCCGAAATACGTGCCCGCACCCCGAAGAGTATTAGGAACACAGCCCTCTGAGCCTTGCGGGTCGCTCCACAGGACATCGAAAACCTGAAACAGGGAAGGATATTATCGTCACAGATAGTACGTGCCTCAACAGGATAATCTACCATTAAAATCCGAGAGCCAATCAGAAATGGATTCCAATCGTATCGCCTTTCGTACTATAACATGCTGCGTGCGACTGTTTATAAAAAACCGTAGCGCCTTCATCTTATTGGGCATGCAACACGCACAGTCAGTTAGCTCGAATAGTTGCATCCAGGCGCGTGACGTGGATATGAAAAAACCGTAGCGCCTTCATTTCATCGAGTATGCAACATTCACAGTCATTAAGCTCGGAAAGATGCATCCAGGCGTTAGCATCAACGGTTTGGCTGGTCGCGTACATACGTTGTTTATTAGTAGAGATAATTTTCTCTCTAGGTATTGTTTATTCTAGGTGCTCCACTTTAGTTTAGTCTTTTTTAGTGAATAGAATGCAATTCAATGGTGTAGGTACGCATCCATGTATCTCATTTGCGGTGTTTGAACATCTCCGCTCCCATTTTATTTTTTTTAACGAGAGTAAATCTGTATCACTCTTTGAAGTTTTCGCAGAATTCTCTTCGCGCGGCGTGGAAAAATCACGACAGTTTTAGAGAATTGCCGTTGAGTAGTTTTTCATTTAATAAATAAAGTGCGACAAGAAGTCTGCGACATTATATTACCTGGTTTCTATAATTGCGATAAAATATAATTTTTTTTTGATTTTCCCTCGAACTTTTCAGACACACTAGGAAAATATCGAGTAAATTTTTTCGGATATTGTAAGGAGAAAAGTTAACAATTGGACCGCGTTAAGCAGAACTACCATCAGCCACTGCCACTAATCTGGCAATTTAATATTTTACATGAAAACGGCTATACAGATTTTTGCGCAAATTTCAGTGAATTTTCTGCTTAGCGCGAAGCAAATTTTTCAAAATTTTTAAAGGAATCCGCACAAACGTTATCTTGTAAAAAATTAAATTGCCTTGTTAAATTTCGCAATAGCTGATGCGGCTTGGTTCCTTCCTGCTAAGCGCGGTCCACTTCTTCCCAGAAATTTTTATTTTATCGGAGGAAATCCCGCAACATCTGACTATTCGTACGGCGCACAGTGGAACGAACTAATAGCGGAGGTATAACATGACATTTTTGGTTAAAATTTCAAATTTGTACGTTTATTTCGTCACAAATTCAATAGGATGTTGCATGTGTGAGGGATTTACAATTTGACCATTGGCTCTAATGTAAAAGTTCGCGAGAAACACGATGGTGCCACTGGTTTTCTCTGAAATCATCTCCCAAGCTCGAAAAAGCTCTCAAAGTGAGGCTATAATGGAAGGAATATCCCACGCTATCCTGAGAGTCCACATCTACATCAAGACAAACTCTCCATGCAAAGATAGGGAGCAAATACATTAGCAGTGATGCCACTTGATTTGGGGGCTCCAAAACTGAAAACACGGCACCACTGCTAATGTATTTGCTCCCTATCTTTGCATGGAGAGTTTCTCTTGATGTAGATGTGGACTCTCAGGATAGCGTGGGATATTCCTTCCATTTTAGCCTCACTTTGAGAGCATTTTTGAGCTTGGGAGATGATTACAGAGAAAACCAGTGGCACCATCGTGTTTCTCGCGAACTTTTAAAAAAGAATCAATGGTCAAATCGCAAATCCCTCACACATGCAACATCTCCATTCTCAAGGGTGTTTCTGAGAGAAAATTTTACGGAAAAACCAATGGAGCCACTTTTAAACTTTTTTGTTCCATATTTTTGAAAATATAAGCTTTCAAAGTTTCGAAATTTTGTCCGCCTTCTCCTATCAACCCGCTCCAGTGTGCGGCGTTCCTAAGACGGCCGAATGATTTCCCCGTCCACATCTCTGTTTTCACCTAGTGCCGCTTTTTCTCACCCCACCGCGAAGAGAAATGACCCGGCCCGCAGGCAGGCGCCGCCCGAAGCTGCCGTCCCGCGCAAAAACCGCGTTTTTACATTCTATTTCTATACAACTTACGCGGTTTTCGATTACTTGAGCTTCGCGCCTCCCGATTGGTCTTCCGAGAGTGACACGCCAATAAATACCAAGCACTGTGGCCGGAGATGCTACTTAGTTTTTCAATCTCGCCCCCTCCAACCCCCCTACTTCCCCCTCCCGTCGTGAGTGGGTGCCTTCAGCATACAAATGAATACGGACTCGTTAGAAGGGTGCAAGTCACCTTTTTCCGGTGATTTTCGGGTTCTCGGACGGTTGAAAAGGCGCGCTCTAGCGGGAGGGCGTGACACAATTTTTTCGTGAACCCTGGAAAGCATTGGGTTGTACGGACGGTAAGGCTCATCCCGCGAAAGAGTTACGCCCTTTCGTCATGTCAGGAGAGTGACGAATTGATTCCAACGGGTGGTGCGTTTGATAAATACCCCGATCCCAGTAGCGAGGCGGGAACAATCGATTATCGATATCTCCCTATTTGAAACTATGGTAAAGAATCGATTTTAAGGAGCTCGTTACGAACACCCTATTCATCGATCCTTTTCCATAGGTTTAAATGGCGGATCGATCGATATATCGCAAAGCACGCCACGCCACTGCCTGATCCGTTAAAACGAATCTCGTGGCTGAGTGTGCTACGGTGTTTCCTATTCCTTGATTTTTTATTCCGCTCTTTCGTGAATGAGGCCGTTGCACAAAATGGGCACAGCCAACTGAGGGATAATGTAGGCAAATTGCGCAAAAATCACGTTAAGCACCTGAAAAATATCTGAAAGCTCTTCCCTAACGCATGATTTGCGTGGTTCGCATAGCGTTTTTTTCTTCAAATGGTGTATTTGCGGGGCAGTGGCGATTCTTGAAATTTGGCAACATTGTTTTTCCTCCATTGAAAGCCATTGAAAATATCGATTTTAGGTGAGGCAAGCTGCCTCACCAAAACTCGATGTTTTACACACATTTAAATGAGGGGAAAACAACCTCCATTTCAATGTATGTAAAACATCGATTCGCAGCTTGTCTCACCTAAAATTGATATTTTCGATGAATTTAAATAAAAAAAAAAAAAAAAAAAAAAAAAAAAAAAAAAAAAAAACAGTATTGCCGACTTTCAAGAATCGCCACTGTTGCGGGGAGTATTTTATCTACCAGCAATCAGGTTTACCAAGAAGAGGGTGACGGAGAGGAACCTAACCTGCGGGGATAGACAAAGCTATAGACAAAGAAGACAAAAGAGTTATAGAGGGATCCCATTGGCGGAAGCGGGTGGTTGCAATGGACAAAGGAGGTAAGTAAGAGACTATGTAACATTGTAACGGCAACCCACAAGGGACCCGATAGTTAGTCCATAATTTTCTCCCTTAGTCAATAGGAACCGCTCATTTCAACCAATAGGATGGTTCATATTCCCCATGTCTTCTTTGTCTATCGCTTTGTCTATCAATTTCAATAACCGGCCCGTTGAATAGACAATCCCGCACGATATTAAGCATGAGAGGATGTTAGGCAATGTTAGAGTACCCGTATAGCGAGAGTATAGACAGATGTGAAACTCTGAAAATCCATCAGGTCTTCACCGATGCCTCCGCAAATAAAGTTAGGGCCCAGAAATGCAGCCAACCTATGAATTTTAATTATCCAGAGCGATTTATTAATACAATTGTTACGAACCATCGTTTATAAAGCACGAACTTGACTTAGTTTTCGCATTGAGTTACTCATTTTTGCGGAAGAACGCTCATTTATGTACATATCTTTAGCCATAAATATGGTAGTGGATTGCTAGTGGTGACAATATGTACTTTTATTTAATGAAGTTATTTAAAAAAAAAAAAAAAATCTTTAGCCATCTTGGTTAGAATTTGAATCTGCAGACTGGCAGTGAAATTTTGTGCGTTCAAAGTTGGTTAGAAGGGTGGCTGCACTTTTGGGCCCTAAGCCCTCCATGAAGCGATCTGTCCATACTCTCGCTACACAGGTACTCTAGGCAATGTGAAATGCAGTTAAGCTGACTCCGGTTTAAACTATATCCATTATATCTGGCAACAGTGCTATCGTTACATCCTCCTAAGAGAACCTTGTCACCTAAACCGAGGACCAATCGTGCAGCTGAAAGAAGAGACCCGGAAGGAAATAGGAGACGGAGATTTTTGCGTTTTTCGAGGTGGGAACCAAGACGAGACGGGGCTTCCCATAATTCACTCGAGATCGGAGTGCATAGGCTTGATTTGTGTGCTGTCAAACGCTGCCATGCTAAGGACAAACGCCGTAAGAACATCCGAGAGTTGCCAAAATTCCCCTCTTCAAATGTTGATTTTCGAGACGAATAATAAATATTTCTACTTGAAATTTTCCGATGATTTAGATCACATTGCGAAGAAAATTCTCTGGAATATCGGGCGGCAAATTTTCAGAAGTTTTCCTGAGAATGGAGATGTTGCATGTGTGAGGAATTTGCGATTTGACCATTGATTCTTGTGTAAAAGTTTGCGAGAAACACGATGGTGCCACTGGTTCTCTCTGAATTCATCTCCCAAGCTCAAAAAAAGCTCTCAAAGTGACGCCAAAATGGAGGGGATATCCCACCCTACCGTGAGAGTCGACCTCTACATCAAGACAAACTCTCCATGCAAAGATAGGGAGCTAATATATTGACAGGGCTGCCACTTTATTTGGGAACTCCAAAACTGAAAACACGGCAACCCTGCTAATGTGTTTGCTCCCTATCTTTGCATGGAGAGTTTGTCTTGATGTAGTCGTGGACTCTCAGGATAGCGTGGGATATCCCCTCCATTTTGGCATCAACTTGAGGGCTTTTTTTGAGCTTGGGAGATGATTTCAGAGAAAACCGGTGGCACCATCGTGTTTCTCGCGAACTTTTACATACAAAGCAACAGACAAATCGCAAATTCCTCACACATACAACATCTCCATTCGTATTTTACCAAAAGAAATTTGGCAACGCGCGAAGATTCACGCGGCGTTCTTCCCTAGCACGGCAGAATGGGAGTGGGTGAAATATCGAAACATGCCAAGCCTGATCGAGCTACCTTCCTCGAAAGGTGCAAGAGTTGACTGCTCTGGAGAGTGTGTTTGTGAGTTTGTGAAACGCACAAGTGATGCGTTACGTATAAGATTTTGTCTAAGATTTATAGACGGAGCGACGAAGTCTGGGTGGCTGGTTTATCGTTTTCAGGGAACGTCATCGGTGCGAAGTCGCTATGTCGACAGGAAATGGAACTGGCGAATTTTACGTGAAAAATTAACCTTTCGCTCCGGTAAGAATCGTGAAACGGCAAAAAGTGTCAACTGTTGAACAGCTCTTCCGAGAAGTTTCCTGTTCGCGCCCCCTCTCAGAGAACTAGGTTCATTTATCTCCCAAATTTTTTTGATTTTGAATGGCTCATCTCTCATACGTTTCATGCATGTTTTAAACTTGTAAAGTTATATAGTCGTGAAGCTGAAAAATAGAGAACGTGTCAATTCATAGAATGGAGAATTTGCACGCAAATTTTTTATTGCTTTATCTGTAAGTGGTAAAAGAGCTGATTCCGCAGTATTTTTTATACTTTTTCTTTGATATTGGAAACAGTAGAACGATAGATTTATGAGTGAGAAAATGCACCGCCTAGTGACGTCATCTGGCGGCATTTCCCATTTAAACACGTGTATTATTCAGCAGACTAGATCATTTTGTTATATCTTCTTCAACAGTTGTTCAATTCATGAACCAAGGGTATCCTCGTGTCTAATCTACTCAGTAGTTTCCACTTAAACACGAAATTCATCAAATTTTAGACACCTGCAAATGCTCCATTGTATAATCTAACGTTCCAAAGTCGTATACCTATCAGCAAAGTGAGGCCAAAGGGGCGGAAAGTCAATCGGCTGTAAAAGTCTAAAGTAGCAATGTTGTGAAAATTCAGAGTCATAAAGTTGGAGTGAAAAATAGATAAGTTTACAAGAACCAGGCTCATCGCTCGTGAACATATTTTAGTGGGAAAATGTTGTGGTTCTGAAATATTTCGATTGAAACATCGCACTTTTCAGAGGGGTGAGATCAAGGAGGGTGATTGGGTAACTTATCCTAAAACGAGCTAATTTTATTTATATGTTCTGAACTCTCATGTAAATTACAAATACCGATCACGGAAAAAAAGTGTTAGGGGTCGTCCCCTAAAATCCCAGCGAATTGGCAACATTGTATTTCCTCCATTTAACCTATGGGAATGTATCGATTCTTGGAGGGGTCAGGTGCTCCGACAAGGATCGATTATTTAGCATAGGTTTAGATGGAGGAGATCCTGTGTTGCCAAATTGCTGGATCCGCATCTGCCTAAAATTGAGGCGCTATCCTAATTTGTTGAGTGATGAAGTATTTCCAATCAATCGTGGTAGTGCTGCATCTCAAGTTGGGATAGTAACGCAACATTTGTGTTAGTGACCTAATTAATTGGAAGGGCCCAAATCACCCAACAACCCCCACCTCTTTTTTTCGTGATATCTGTTGCCGATCGATAGTAATGAGGATCTCTGTGAAAAATGTATTCATAAATAAAATATAAATTTGATTTTTCCCTACCTGTTTCCACTCAGCTTTGTCGATGACCTCTGACCCAGGAACTGGAGATGGTTGCTCGAGGACGGGCGGTCGTAATAATGATACATACTGAAAAATGCAAGAAAATGATTCAATAATGATTAAACAATTTTTTGAAAGCACATTGGACTGCATTTTGCAATTTGGAACTATAAATTCTGGCTCATCTGAAAAAACACCTATGTGCATAGGTAAAATAATGGCACATACGTTGTTTTTAAACCTGGCCAGAATTTATAGTTCCAAATTGCAATTGAGAAGAGAGCTCTCTCTGAAGTCATACTGTTTTAGAGAGAGATCAATTCGAGGGTTCCTTGGAAGTTTTAGATATTAGATGAACTTAACTCGTCTTCATAAAGCTCCGCGTATCATGCCGTTTTTCGTTTTACAAACAAAATAACACAGCTACATTTCAACGCGGCCAAATTTTCGCTTTTCAACTGAATTTTTACCAGGAAACTGCTGGATATCTCATGCTGAAATTTTCATTTATTATTTTTGTTTGTTTTTGTTTCACACCCACAAAAATCAGCAACATTTTGGACGGAAATGGCATTATAACCATATACCTCTGTAAAAAATTGAATAGTTTGAGTCAATTTGGCAACCCTGGAATTGAGTTACGCTCTTTTGAGTAGAGAAGAGGATTTGTGTGTCATTGTGTGTGCGCCACGAGTACGTGACTTTGGAGGTGGTACACAATTCGGAGGAATCGTTGGTGGTGAGGGACTCTACCCTTACCAATATAATCAATCGGAAGAAGTTGCATGATTGGGCCCCCAAACAAATGATAGAAGGGATTTTTGGTGCGCGGGAGGGAGAAGATTAAATTGAAACCTTGTATCGGAAGAAAGGTGCGGGCCGGCTATAAATAATGAAAGCTTCGGCTTTTATCTCCCTGACGCAATTTATTAGCGAACAAAGCTTGCTGCAACGTTGCCGTGCAAGCTAAGACGCTCAATAATCCTTGGACAACGTCAATCGCAGAAAGTTAATCTACCTACATTTTGTCGCAGGACACGGGTTTGGGTTTACCTCTATTTGCTTTTTAACCGCTAACTTAAATGGCGATGTTGCATGTGTGAGGAATTTGCGATTTGACTTTTGATGCTTATGCCAAAGTTCGCGAGAAACACGATGGTGCCACTGGTTTTCTCTGAAATCAACTTTCAAGCTCAAAAAAAGCTCTCAAGTTGAGGCCAAAATGAAGGGGATATCCCACCCTACCCTGAGAGTCCACGTCTACATCAAGACAAACTCTCCATACGAAGGTAGGGAGCAAATACATTAGAAGGGTTGCCGTGTTTTTAGTTTCAGAGTCCCCAAATTAAGTGGCAGCCCTGTCAATGTATTTGCTCCCTATCTTTGCATGGAGAGTTTGTCTTGATATAGAGGTGGACTCTCAGGATAGCGTGGGATATCCCCTCCGTTTTTGCCTCAACTAGAGAGCTTTTTTTAAACTTGGGAGTTGATTTCAGAAAAAAAACAGTGGCACCATCGTGTTTCTCGCGAACTTTTACATAAGAATCAATGGTCAAATCGCAAATTCCTCACACAAGCAACATCTCCATTTGATGCAATGGGTTAGGCAAAACGGGCCTTGAGATAGAAAAAATGAAGGATTGAAGTACTAGACAAGGCACGAGGTTCAGCGTTCGATATATTATTCTTAACCAAAATTTAACGTAAAACACGATTTATACATCAAAAATTACTGAAATCAACTCCTAACTAAGGTAATAACGTGTTAATTTTAACGGGGGCTCGGAGTTCGGACGCGACGCGACGCGACGCGACGTAGCGCGACGAAATGCCTTCAATTAGGCGGGTAGGCAATTTGCGCTCCGGAGAGTTAGAATAGTTGCTCGGGCTGTAGCAAGGCGCTAAGTGTCGTGGCTTGAGTGCGACGAGTTGCAATGAAGATACGACTGTCTGAGGAACAATGAACCAGGAGGGTACGGATTTGAGCATTCCAAGACATGTGTCTCAGCCAAAATAACACGTAAAACACGATTCACGTAATAAAACTCACTAAAATGTATTCTTTGTGATTTTACAGGGCTGAATATGTGAAATTTCAAAAAATTGATCCAATTATTTCCTCTCTAAAATAAGAATTGGCACTGGAGATCCTGAAACACCACAACCAAGAATGCCCTTTTTGCACCCAACGCCTCAATCCTGACGTGAGTTGCGTTTTTTGCTGAAAATCGTGCCACTGGAAAAAAAATCACTTGGATCTAGAGCCCAGACTCTTGAAAACAGAGACACGAAAAAATACTCCTGATGCAATCAGATTTTTGCTTAAATCGAGAACCAACCCTTTCAATCTAAAGCGGATTTCTTTTTCATTCAAGCAAAAATCCGATTGAATCAAGAGTATTTTTTCTTGTTATTGTTTTCAAGAGTCTGGACTCTAGATCCAAGCGACTTTTTTTCCAGTGTGAGCTTTCTCCGTGGGTCCTCATTTCCTTGACTCTATCAAACTTTTTCTATCGGCTGCCATTCGTGAACGCTCCTAATTCCACAGTGATTATCGGCCACCCCACTTTTTAAAACTCCTTTTTAACGCTGCCGTGAAGTCCGCTTTTTGACGTTGAAATATTCTGAGAGACCGACGAATCGTTTGAAGTGCAAATTCAGCCACTGAGCTTAACCGCGGTAGGTCTCTGGTCAAACAGCTGGATCAAAGTCCGTTCGGCCGAGCACTTTTCTTCTCATGGCATGATCGCCGAGTCGCATGTGAGGCCTTTGTGGCGTATGGTCGCAGCTGCAAAGGACTAAAGGAGCAGTCGTATTTCAAACACTTAAACGGAACCGGCTCCATAAAACTGAGAAAGGTGAAAGGGCCTCGCCATTCAATCCGTTTCATGTCCCCCGTTTCAAACAACCCCCGCGAGACCGCAGCACTGTCGCCAGATAGTCTCGTCATATCGTCGTCTCCTGGACGAAAGAACGTAACTCTATTTCAATGTTGCCAAATTTCCCTATTAATCAAATTGCCTATTAATCAAGAGAATCTTGGGCATTTCTGACTGAAAATTTCTCTGATTTTTCTCTAGATTCCAAGCAAAAAACAGACCAATTTTGGATGAAAATTGCTTACGTACATTTTTGTAAAATAAATTAATTGTTCGAGTCAATTTGGCAACCTTGGAATGGAGTTACGTTCCTTCGTGCTGGAAATGATGATATACAGTGTTCGAAACTCACAGGCGCCAACGCGCCGAATGCGCGTAAGAAATCGGACACGGCGCCTAAAAAATGAAGGCACTGCGCCAATGTGGCCTCTAAAAATTGCCCCTCCCCCTCCATAAAAAAATCCTAATTTTTCTGTTCGGTGATTTCCCCCGAGTTAAAGTTACTAGTTCTGTAACTAAAAAATCTTGCGTCTAACTTTTCACTAAATGCGCCGTGATATTGTATACAGGCGAGAAGTCAATCTGGCCCCTAAAAAATCTCAATGGCCCCTAAAAATCGAGCTCGATGCGCCACATGGCTCCTGAAACTCAAAGGTGAGTTTCGCACACTGGTCATATGCAATTTTTATTATTGCGGTGAAGTTTGGTAAAGGCGAATTTACACCGGAAGAAAGTATACATTGAGAAATCGAACAAATTTTTTATAACATACTGGTTTCATTACATGAATGTCTGGCAAAAAATGGATTCAATATACGCTAATGAAGGCGCATTCCAGTTGCTTCAATTGAGAGCACATTCCACGTTCGGCTCCTCTCAGCGTTAATTCTGGATTTAAAAACTTTATTTTCGAGAAAAAATAACTGCTTTGTACCTTTAGGCGTCTTAGATTAATTATTTTTCCAAAAATTTAAAATAAAAACAGTTTTCGGTAAAATTTGTTTGATATCTTAATAATGCCAACTCACTCTCGCTGTTTAGATTCACATTGAAGATATTCATCATGCCGTGAGATGTTTTTAATCTGTTCCTTCCAATTTCGATGAATCTCTTTTAAGAATCTCCAATCGTAATTTTATTTTCGAGAGAATACTGATAAAAATACCTTAATGACATTCTTTTGTAATAATGTTTGAGTTAGTGAAACAATTCACAAAGAGTTTCAAGAGAATCAGTCGGGCAGTTTCATTAAAAACAAAAGATCAGAGGCTTGCAACACCGCAATCTTTTTGATTTAGCCATCACTAAACTTTTAGAAATAATTATTTTTCGCGGAACAAAAGGAAAAAAAAAGAAAAGAGGAAGGGATGAAAGGTCAAGTTGAAAGGTTTGTAAGAGACGAATAGGAATAATAATCGAACATTTGTAAACAGACCTCAATATTGAAAAAAGTTGTTTTCTTTCTTAGTATGAAAATGAAAAATAAAAAGTCAGTGTTATGTTTGAATAATCGGCAACAATGCGCGGATGGTTTGATCTCCCCATCATCAAGATATATAATTCGAATACACGCACCTGTTCGTGAAGCAGACCTTTGGGTAAAATTGAAATGGTGCATTTTTTACGGTGTAGATCTTGGCTAGTTGGCAACGCTGCGTTTCGTCTATTCATCTGTATGTAAAACGGTCGATATTTTTGTAGAAGCATTCTGCTTCATCTAGAATCGGTTGTTTTTAATGTTTTGTCATTGAAGAAAACTATTGTTGCCAACTTCCGAAAATCGCCAGTAAATTTTCAGTTATTCGTGCTGAGCGAGAAGGGTGATGAAGAAAAAATGACCATCATTGTATATAAGAAAATAGATAAATAAATAATAATAATAAAACATTAATAAAACAGCATAAATAGGCAACTTAGTTTACAGTGAGTTATGAACCGGATGACCAGACTCTGAATTTTGAACCTATATTCGATATTTCGATGCGTCTGCACTAATAAACCTGGCACAGAAATTTCAATTTGAGAGAAATGTAAATTATCAAGTTAGAATGTCGCGCTCAAAATTAACAAAAGAAGGTCTGGGAATAGTTACGCACTGTTCGCTTCAAAAAAAAAAAACAAAATAAATAAATACAAAAAATACGGCACAATCAAATGCCCGAATTTGACTTTCTGCTGCCCTGAGCCAATCAGTATTTTGCCACCTTCATGATGGTTCTAGCGGGAAAATCTTTCGTAGAGAGCTTTGAGGCCCTCCCACCTCCCGCCTCCCACAGCAAGCTGTCAAAAACCGATGTCCCTTTTGAGCAAGTTTGATCCAATCTTCAAATCTCACTTGCGTAGTTGTTACTTTAAAAAAAAGACTAAATTTTAAAAGCATATTTTCTCCTAAAATTTGCCGCCACTATGCAACTGCCTATACAGGCATGGGCACAAATCGAAGAAACTTTTCCATGTACATGTGATTTTATCTCATCATGCCCACTTAACAATAATCAATGATTGGATGGGGCATTACTAATGCATTACTATTCCCCAGTGCACCAAGTGAGCAAGTGAGCATTATAATCATGTACTCAGTAAGAATTGAATTCTATGGCTAACATTTCAAACGAGCATATGATGCTATCTTGGAAAAAAGACCTTGCGGAACAATTTTGAAAATTGAATTTTTGAAACAGTTCATGAGAGGAGCTTTGGCGGTTAGCAAGATCCCAAAATTTCAAACAAAAACCCAAAATCACTAAGTATCGGTGTTTTGAATAGTCGCCCGTTCAGCATGTTCGAGCCGATAAAAATGTAAAGAAAATCACGTTAAAATTTTATTCCTGGCAAAGGACCTCAGGTCCTTTTTTTTGGTGACGTAAAGTGATTGTAAACTGAATATTTGGACCAAACCAGGCTTGGATGGTTTATTAAGATATGTATAAAGTGCATACCCACAGAAGAAAAAAATTTGAAACTTAAAGCCAAAAATAACATTTCTCCCCCTCTTATATATTTGATGAAATGATTACCTAATGTAAAATACAGAAAGTGTTTGACTTACCTTACTTCTACTTAAACCCTTTAAAAGTGTTAAATCTGTTATGTCGGATATGCCGCCATGAACTACTAAGACTTTATTATTGACCAAGGTGCCCAACGGAAGCCATCGGTATACTAATTCGATAAGTTGTAACAGTCTTTCATAATTGTTCTGCAATCACAAAAATACAAGAATGCATTTAAATTGAGCCAAACAAAATTTGTAACGTAAAAAGGACCTAATAGGTCAAACTCATTTATGGACTTACCAATCGTTACGTTTATTTGACAGTGCGGTACCTTGCAGTGGCACTTAGCGAATACTGGTTTTACATTTGAACCGTTTCGTGAACAGAAGGCGACTAGATAAGGCATGAATTAAGTCACCACGCATCATGTTTTCTTTTTAAAATTTCATGAAGGTTACAGTGGCGTGGTATGCTTTGCGATCTATCGATATTTACCCATTTGAAGCTGCGGTAATTAATCGATTATTAAGGTGTTCGTTGGGAACATCCGTTTATCGATACTTTTCCATAGGTTTAAATGACCGATCAATCGATATATCTCAAAGCACGCCACGCCACTGGAAGGTTACGAATCACATGACGGGGAGTTTGGGAATCAACTCATTAACAAAATGTAGATTTACAAATAGCATTGGATGATTAGCAAAAATTCAAAAGACTTCCATTTGGACTACATTTTGCAATTTGGAACTATAAATTCTAGCCCGGTTTAGACACAACTTATGTGCCATTAGTTTCTATATTCAATGACGTTTCGCATGATTTTTGAATTTTATTAGCGGAAAAAGTGGCTTGATTTAAGCAGAAATATTTTCAAATTTACTGCCGAAAAGATTTCCTTATGAACAAATACAGAAAATAATGAGTGTTCAAAGAAGAAAAGATGCTTATATTAAAAAGAACAGGCATTTACATCAAGCAGAAACCCGTTTCATTCAGCTATTTTATTTTTGATTCAAAATAAAATCTTCTTGACGGCATACTCAAGAATTTTTCTACCTAAATCGAGTCACTTTTTTCTCTAATGTAATTAAAAAATTATGTGCTAGGACTTAGTGAGTTTTTGGAATACTGCTCTCTTTTTGTGCTGTAGTATCTTAATTTACTCTGAGAGGAGCTCCGTACTCTCAAAGAATACCTGTCTTTCTTAATATGTTGGAGCGCCTTCAATTTCGTATGATACTGTGCAACACTTCTGGCGCGAAATAGTTGCTTGAAGCGCCTTGAATGAAGTTGTTGGAGCGCGACATGCGCACAGGCGCCTACAAACCTAACAGGGATACTACACGCATTGCGCAATGCGTGAAGTATCCCTGTTAGGTTTGTAGGCGCCGGTGTGAGTGTCGCGCTGGCAGCCAGCACGCCGCGTGCCGCGCGCCGCTCCGTTTCGTGTTTGGCTCTATTATTTGAACTCGCGGCGTCATCGTTTTTCAACTCATGGTTTTGAAATGTTTGCACACATCGTTTGGATTATTCTCATTTATATTGATGGAAAAAAAAAAAAAAAATGTTTTAAAGGAAAATATACTGAGTGTATTGTAAGTATTAAGGTGGCTCCGTGTCAAATTTAAGGATTTTCAAAGCAGTTCAATTTTTTCTTATATATTTTGTGCTTTTACTGTGTTACAGCGTGGCGTACACGCAACCAAACGCTCAAACTTGGACGTATTTGACTCTAAGAGATCGATGTACAAATGGGTTAAAACCAAAGATTGCGTGCTTCATGGTTTTTCGCCCTCTTCTATTAATTTCTTTTATAGTATCTTTTAACACAACTACATCTCATTGAGATTAATGTTGATGTCATCGCTTGGATGAGGTTTTACAAATATTTGCCACGTTTTAAAAAGGAAAATGTTTTTGAAATGAAGTAATATTTTCATTAAAAATAAAGAAAAAAGGTATATTTATGGAATATTTTAAGTCGAAAATTTTAAGGGTGAAAATAAAATCAAAGATTCACCAAAGACAGTTTGTAAAGATGAGTCAAAATAAGAAAGTAATGTTTCATTTAAACAATTATTTAGCATTACAACACCTCCTTCTCTCTCAATTTGCTCACTACTATATGTCAATATAATTTTACTTGCGGAGATTAAAATATAACGCTCGGACCAAGTCATTGTTGCTTATTTTATGCAAGGACGTAAGCTACTGGACAAAATAGGTGCGGGGACAAAAAATCGTTGGAAACCGTGATAAATAACCGCAGGTTGTCTATCGTCTTTAGAAGCGTTAAATAAAAGAAGAGGAGTGAAGCAGCGCAGAACAAGGCGACGATAGCAGCGTACAGTAGAAAAACGCATTCATTTTCACGCAATACAATGATCGACACAGAAGCACGAATAATTGCGTATTCGATCATTTTCTCACCAATCACTGCGCACTTGCAGTTCACGCTGCCGTGCTAAGCAAGAACACCGTATGAGTCGTCAGGCGTTGCCAAGTTTCCTTCGACAAATCACAAATTTCCAGGAAAATTTTTAAATATTTCTTCCAGAATTTCTCAGAGGCTCTCGATCGTAATTTGATCTTAAAAGTCTGAAAAGAGCTTGATGCAAAAACGGCTTTTTTCGCCCCCCCTCTGGAAGTTCTTCAGACTTTGTCTATTGATTACTCATACTTGAGCGCTTCTTTTCCAAAATTTTCAGACCCTCAAAAAATTTTGGGGGGGAGCTAGGAGGGGTGGAAGTCAAAACCTGTGAACCTCGATATCTCTTGAACAAAGAAAGATATTGAGGTCCGGTTTGGACGAAAAATCGTCTAAAATTGCATACTTTAAGATTCTAAAGGTCGAAATCCCGATATCGCATTTTTAAGTCAACATATGTGCTTTTTTCCAGTTTTTAGGTCTAGATAATTTCTTTTAAACAAAAAATTTACAAAGATCTCAATTTTTTATTTGAACCAAAACCAGTTTTTTAAATTGTTCGTCTTTTTTCGCATCCAACGAGTGGTCGTATAAGCTGGGGAACCGAACGGTTCCGGAGTTATGATCGATTGAAGTTTCCGCTCAACGCGCGCCGACCGATTTTCGCGCGCAAAAAAGTCGGATTTGACTGTTATTAGATCAGATTGAATGTTCAAACTGAGCAAAATGCTTTATTAGGGACTCTTGAGGGTAGCTGAGTTCAGAAATTACCGATACTTCCAAATAATTTACGTTTTTAAAATTACAGCTCCGCGGCGCTATTTTAGAGGCCCACTGAGCGCCGACCGGCCGCTCAGTGGTCCTGTGCGGTGCTGTAATTTTAAAAACGTGAATTTTTTGGAAGTATCGGTAGTTTCTGAACTCAGCGACCCTCAAGAGTCCCTAATAAAGCATTTTGCTCAGTTTGAACATTCAATCCGATCTAATAACAGTCAAATCCGACTTTTTTGCGCGCGAAAATCGGTCGGCGCGCGTTGAGCGGAAACTTCAATCGATCATAACTCCGGAACCGTTCGGTTCCCCAGCTTATACGACCACTCGTTGGATGCGAAAAAAGACGAACAATTTAAAAAACTGGTTTTGGTTCAAATAAAAAATTGAGATCTTTGTAAATTTTTTGTTTAAAAGAAATTATCTAGACCTAAAAACTGGAAAAAAGCACATATGTTGACTTAAAAATGCGATATCGGGATTTTGACCTTTAGAATCTTAAAGTATGCAATTTTAGACGATTTTTCGTCCAAACCGGACCTCAATATCTTTCTTTGTTCAAGAGATATCGAGGTTCACAGGTTTTGACTTCCACCCCTCCTAGCTCCCCCCCAAAATTTTTTGGGGGTCTGAAAATTTTGGAAAAGAAGCGCTCAAGTATGAGTAATCAATAGACAAAGTCTGAAGAACTTCCAGAGGGGGGGCGAAAAAAGCCGTTTTTGCATCAAGCTCTTTCAAGGAAAAACATTCGTAACATATTTTCAAAATTTAATATTTTCGAAGAGGAAATTTGACAACATTTGAATGCTCGCTCGATCTTTTTACTTAGCACGGCAGGACAGTGATAATCTGCTGGCGAAGAACATCGCATTAACCGCAAGACGTTTCTAAATTTTTCGGGGAGATTTAACAACATTTGGATGTTTTTCCTTAGCACGGTAGAATAAAAGGGCAGATATGCAACACTGTATTTACGGTTTATTCGTTTCTCTTACGTAAAAATGTATCATTATTTCTACATGGGCCCCAAAGAGTGCAGATTCATACGGAGAACGAGGCTCACGTGGAACTTGAGAAACGCCTTTACATCAGAAGAGCGCCAACTTTTTTTTCAGCGCGGTGATTTTGAAAAAAAGGGAGGAAATACGTGTTCATGTTGTTTTTTTGTGTGAGAAGTACTTCCGCGTAGTGCAGCGTTGCCCATTTGTGCTGCGAAGCATATTTGATATGATCTTTGGACCGAAAGTGGGTCGCTTTGTTGGGAGAATAAGGAGATAAAAGCCCCTCAAGAAATCGTGCTTAAGAAAGTGGCTGAGCCTCTTAACGACTCACTGTTCGCTGAACGAAAGTGGATTTCGGAAGTGGAAGAGGGAAGCTCGCCTCCGTCGCTCGCACAAAGAGAGCTGCCGTCTCGAGGATAAACCGCGTATCTCCATGGAAACGCCATTGGAGTTACGCGTTTCTTGCAGTGGCGTGGCGTGCTTTGCGATCCATCGATATTTCCCCGTTCGAAGCTGTGGTAAATAATCGATTATAAAGGTGCTCGCTGCGAACACCCTGTTTCTCGATACTTTTCCATAGGTTTAAATGACCGATCAATCGATACATCGCAAAGCACGCCACGCTACTGGTTTCTCGCCGGGCGCGGAGGAGGAAACAACGCACAAATCATTGGAGTAAAATGTGGCACAGTAATCTGCATTCGCATCGTGGACCTGCGTTTACGCAATCTCGACACGATTTGACTTTATTGTGGGGTATTCTTACGGATTTTTCCGCATGACGATAGCGGCATTCGACAAGCAAGGAGGAACTATTATTTGGAGCACGTAGGATCAAAATAACTGATAGCCTTTTTTATAGTCTTCCAGAGAAACCCCNGACGAATTTATTTCAACAGATAGTCTGCAACGTTGCAAACCGAGATACGTGGTTTGGTACACTGAAAAAAAAAAAACTCCGGCCGTGGGAGCCGCAATTACGGGCTGTATAGACGTACCGCCCATTCCGGGCTCAACGGGCGAAAATTCCGGCTGCTGGAGCCGTAGCTTCGGCCTCTGAACCCGGAGCAATCGTAGCTACGCCTATAGCAGCCGGAATTTTTGGCCTTTGAACCCGGAACGGACGGTATGTCTATATAGCCCGTATTTGCGGCTCCCAGGGCCGGAGTTTTTTTTTCAGTGTAATTTCGCCATCAATATGTTTTACATTTTGATTAAGAGGAGTTTGGGAAAACCACTATGGGGCCTCCAAAGAAAGAAAGCGACTATGTATACGACCCTCATCTATTCTCGCCTCTCATTGGTTGAAGAATGCATCAAACATCAGCATCACTTCTTTTTCATCAATGGGCCTGTTGCAAACTTTTGCTGGAGCAAAATTCTGAGTTATTCACTATATAGAAAATGGCTCAAAAATCACGATGAGCGCATCGGCCGAGTCTAAAATGCACTGATACCTTCACAACGTTTATCCGGATGTTTTTTGCATATTTCAGGGAATTTTTTGCAAAACACGAGGGGAATTCCTTAAAATTGTCAAAAAAATCCGCACAGGGGTTCTCCTGTAAACAATTAAATTGCTCAATTAAAGTTGGCAATAGCTGATGTGGCTTGGTTCCGAACTGTAAAACGCGGTTCATTTAAGACATCTCCTCACTGAATGAAAAATCTCGGTGTATTTACTAAGAAAAGGGTAAAATTACCAAGAATTCAGGGTTCTATTTGATCCCAGTTTTTTCGTGGTAAAATTACCATTTATGGAATTGGTAATTTTCCGAGAAATCTCGGTAAAATTACTGACTTTCTCGGTAATTTTACTGGACCCCGGTAAAAACGCCAATATTTTTTATCGACTGTGGTAGAATTGCCGAGATAAAATGGCGAAGTTACCGGGAATTGATTACCAATAAAACTGGTATTCTTACCTGAAAAAAAACAAACAGTAAGAATACCGGTTTTTAGGTAAGCTTACCAGTCTGTCTTCATTAAATTACCAATAATTGGTAAAAAAATTGAGATGGTAAAGGCACCGAGGGACCTTGGTAAAAACGCCGAGAATTTTTTTTCAGTGCTGTAAGAGACAACTCTTATTTTTGTTCCAGCAAACGTTCGCAACAGGCCCATTCAAAGTCGTACCGTATTAGATCGCGAAAATCCACCTATTTCCGTCCGACGAGCGGCAACGGGTCCCCGAGAGGCTTTTAAACAGATGACTGGTGTCTGGTGACTGATGATTTTCCGATGCGATCGATACCGAGATCAGCGGCGGCCCTCCATCATGTCCGGAGCAGCTCCCATGACAGCCAGCATCGTGAGCGATCGGCAATTAATCGGGATGAATAGGGGCAGTTTGTTGACGCTGCCNGGCCGAGGCCACCTACAAGAGTGCCCCGTGATAATCCACTCCGATCTTCGCGCCATTAATCTCAATTTACATTTTAATTGCCCCCCATTTATCACGCTTGTTTTCGGATTAGCTTCGATATTCGCGATGCGTCATTACGTCAATTACGTCAATTACGTCATACGTCGCGTGCGCGGCACGGATCGCGGATCTGATTGGAGCGGTGAGCCGGGGGCGGTTGACCTTTGAACGGGATGATTTCAGTCTCGCAAACCTTTGCCGCCGTGCGGAGGAAGAACGCCGTATGGAAATTCGGACTTTGCCAGATTGCTTCCGAAAAAATATTAATTTATGTGGACAGTAATGAATATTTGAACGTATTTCTATCAAACGGAACTATGTGCATTAAGACATGAGCCCTGAGATCCATAAGAATATGTGCATAGCAGGGCTCACGTCATAATGCACATAGTTCCGTTTGGTAGAAATACATTCATTTGGACCACGTTTAGCAGACAGGAACCAAGCTACATCAGCTATTGCCAAATTTAATTCGACATTTTGATTTTTCACATAAAAACGGTTATGTGATTTTTGTACAAATAGTTCAGTGAAGTTTCTGCTCAGTACGAGAGAAATTCCTTAAAATTTTCATAGGAGTCCGCATAAACGTTCTTCGGTAAAAAATTGAATTGCCCGGTTGAATTTGGCAGTGGCTGATGTGGCTTGGATCCCTTCTGCTCAAGGCGGTCCATTTGCCTTTGAAATGTTTCGATATTTTCGATTAAATTACGGGTAAACGTCTCTGCTAAAAGGATCGATATTTCCGATTTTTTTGACACCCCTTCATCCCTTGTAGCGTTATCGTAACGCTGATCCACCCCCCCCCCCCCAAATAAAAACGAAACACTTGCTCAACACCCTCTTTTACACACACACACAAAAAAAACACGATAGACATTTTTCTCACTGGAAAAAAGGGGAGGGCACTGCGTGCGGCTATGTTTATTAAAAGGCTCTGTATTTCAAGAGACAATAAAGAACTAGACAGACAAAACTAGCGCATACAAATTTAAAAAGAAACAAGAATAGAGAAGTTGAAATCCAGTACGTACTATCATTACGAAATGCTGACTCAGGGGCAAAAAAGCTCTTCTTTCTTTTAGTCGTAATCGCACATTAGAGCCTCCCGTCTTTCTCTTACACCAAAATTGCGACTGAATTAATTAGACCCCAGAATAGATAAAAACAGAAAAAAATGTGACAAAAATGCTTATAGCTATGCTTTGAATAAACATGATTCGTGACTTACCTTATATTTCGATCGCACCTCTCTTATGAACCCGTACCTAGAATGATAGAAAATGAACCAATCAAACTAAAAGAAACATCGGTAACTAAGCCACAGAGTAAACATATAGAGTCGTAATAATTATAGATTTCATTTCCTAAATGTAGGTAAACAGTGCTATCTTGCAAGATGGCAACAATGTTTTTTCTCCATTTAAATGTATGCTAAACAATCGAGTCTAGGTGAGGCAGCCTGTCTTAGCTAGAATCGATGTATTCAATAGGTTTAAATGGAGCATAAATAGTGTTGCCAATTTGCTGGAATCATCACTGAATTTAAATGGACAAGACCCAGCGTTGTCCGCTTGCAAGAATCCTCATTGGTTTTGACTCATTGCGGAAGAATCATCTCAGAAAGAGGAATTTGAACAGTAAACGTTCCTTGTCAAAATAAATCATGTTTTGAAGCAGAATCAATCGCATGCATTGTATTTTGCTCTCTTTCCGCATTTTTTTGACGTTTAAACAGGAAATTCAACCCCCCCCCCCCTCCGCATATACTCATACTTTGTGTGGTCAATTTCCGTTGGAGGTATCGACCGAGCAAAGTTGTGCACAAAGGATGATTGCGTAAATATGCGTCATAAATCACTGCTTGGAACAATAAATTCAAGAGGAGGCTAATACAGCAAAGTTCCAAAGGGATGTTGCCGAAACAAACAAAAAATCACTCTATTCAGGATTATTTGAAATGTCATTTTCATAGGATAAATCTATGTAATATTAAAATAAAGAAAGCTTTGATTCAGATTCTGCGGGATGTAGCGCAGACCTTAACCCTCAATTATCAGAAGCGGATCTAGCAATTTGGCATCACCGGGTTTCCTACATTTAAACCAATGTCAAATAATCGATTCTTGTCAGAGCACCTGGCCCCTCCAAGAATCGATACATCTCCATAGGTTTAAATGGAGAAAAAACAATGTTGAAAATTTGCTGCATGGATCCGCCAAGGCAATTGATTTGCTATTTTTTAACACGAGAGCGGAAAAGAAAATATTACTGAGATCAAAAACTACCTGTAGGAGAAATAAAACAGAGTGGGGCAAAGGTAACTCGTGGAAATTCAATTTTCTTAATGATTGTTTCATTTACCTCCGCTTCATGATGAATGATAATGTGTGCGTTGAGGTGTTTGCAAAAAAGTTTGTTCAATGGGGTGTTTGTATTAAACAAAAACATAACCGCTCAACGCACCGTATATCAGTTCTCTGCTGAACAAAGATTAGACTTAATTCCCGAGAGAATCTCTCGTAGATACCATGTGGGTTCACACGTTTCAAAACTCCTTCATTCACTCGGTTATGCAACCGAGTTCTCTGGAGCACGAATAGTTGCATCTTGCTGAACGGGGCTCGGGGGAAAAGGCGCATAAGAGCAGATTTTGCTATTCCGAGAAATACGTGCTTAGAGTTTCAAAATTATGTACATGAATCATTCTGGCGGAAAGAAAGTTCAAATTAACTTTCCGATGCTTAAAAATTGGAATCTGGGAGCTAATTTTTCACAGAATGTACACAAGGACTAGCTTTACTTGAAATCCTTGACATCCCAATTTTTTTTTTAAAAAAAAAATGTACTTATGCGTCTAGCCCTCTTAGCCCCTCCGTAATTCATCGTCTTCCGAACGAGGAAACGTAACTCCATTCCAAGGTTGTAAAATTGACTCAAACAATTCGATTTTGTACAAGAATGCCCCAGTGGGATTTTTGTCCAAAATTATTCTGATTTTTGCACGATATCAGATGAAAAATCTCTAAAAGTTTCAATTTGAAATGTCCAAGGTTCTTTAGCGAAAATTGCTATTATCGAAAGGAAATTTGGCATCATTTAAACGTAGTTACGTTCCTTCGTGGGGAAAACGACGAATTGGACGTATTTCTATCAAACGGAACTATGTGCATTATGACATGAGCCCTGTTATGCACATATTTTTATGGGTCTCAGGGCTCATGTCCTAATGCACATAGTTCCGTTTGATAGAAATACGTCCAATTGATCAAATAGCGTTTGCCCGAGGCGACACCATCGCTTCACCGTGTAGCAAATTATTAGAGGAGCAAATAAAAACAAAATGACGCAGGCTCGACAAAAAGGCATATACCAGTGGCGAGGCGTGAAAGATCGATTATCGATATTTCTCCATTTGAAGCTATGGTAAAGAATCGATTATTAAGGTGTTCGCTGCGAACACCCTGTTAATCGATCCTTTTCCATAGGTTTAAATGGCAAATCAATCGATTTATCGCAAAGCACGCCACGCCACTGGCATATACAGCGAGCTTTCCGTTGAATTTCGGCATTTGGAGATTCGGTAAGTGACGAACAAACAAAAAAGCGGCCGAGTGTTTACCTTGTGTTCATTACGTGGTCCTCGTGGTTGCCCCGATTGAGAAAGACGCCATCGGGGAAGGCCAACAAGCAAACAAGCAGGAGCAACAAAACCTCCAGCCCTTTCTTCCCCCTGTCAACAAAGTCCCCATTAAAAATGTACGGGTTCTCCGCTGAGGGCAGTCCATTCTGAAACACGCAATCGCCGCACACCATTCAAGATCTGAGTCAAAGGCTGCCGTGCTCAAGAACGCCGTATGAGCCTTCGTACGTTGCCAAATTTCTTTTGGTAAAATACGAATTCTCAGGAAAACTTCTGAAAATTTTCCGTCCAATTTTCCGTCCAATTTTCTTCGCGGTATGACCTACAGTATGAGAAAATTTCAAGTAGAAATAATTTATTAGTTGTCTCGAGAACTAATATTTGAAGAGGGGAAATTTGGCAACCGTCGGATGTTCATACGTCGTTTTTCCTCAGCACGGCGGAGGAGGTGTTAAGCACGCTTTCCCGCGCTTCACGTCAAAGAACTCGCGCGCTGGGCGAGTGGTGAGTGGCAATTGAACTTGAGTGGAGGAATCCTTTGGTAGGTCCTCCAAATTTGAAGGGAAACGAAGAAAATCAAGCTATGGATCGTATTCGATGGAGGTTCGATGTGTCGTTTGGTTCAAAACAATAAAACGCAACCTCAAACGCAAATTCTAGGATCTAAGTTGGAAAAGCTGAAAATGAGAAAATTTCTGACAGTTTATTTTTTCATTGCCATTTTGTACTGATAAGAATAAGAAATCTATCACAAAAAAATTCCTCCCCGATGTTTCTCAGAACAATAACACTTGTTTTACTTTGAAATTACTTATGTTTAAATTCTTCGTTTTTTTCTTTCTTTCTCGCTTTCTCTCCCCCTCTTCCAAAATGTATCGCACCCCCTAATCCACGATACCCTTTAGTCTACTACTAAATTTGTCCGATGAGACAGTGTACAAGGTCTGAATGTGTAGCAATCCCATCAAAATTTTACGAGAGAATAATGCGCAAACACAACGGTAAACTCGGAATTAGCTTTTTATGGGAGGGACATTGACATTTACACCGATGCAATTTAAAACGAACGATGTCAGTTCGCTCGTATTTAGCGAGTAAAAATTTAAGAAAAAGAAGGGGGAAAGAACAATAAAAGTTTCGCAAGGTCTCGCGTGTTGCCGTTGTTCAATCATCAGAGAAATATCAGAAGAGAGAGAGGAATAGGAAGAGGAAACATTTTTTTGTCATTCAACGACGGAAGTTTGGGTAGAGTCGTGATACCTAGCGAAGAGAGCGGTAAGTGCAAAAATGAAGTTTTGAGAAAACAGGCTCAGTAGCTTCTAACCGAAAAATGTTGAAAGAGGCCTCCGTTCTTTGTCAAATTGCCACCAATCATGCGAAAGAATCTTGGAAATCGTTTAGATGATTACAAATCGACCTATTTCATTTTTTTATCAGTTTTTCATCATAATTCATTTTCAAGTTAGGCTAGTATTAGATTAGGTTAGTGCTAGAGTGACAGTCGTGAGTGCTATCTTCTGCATGCTTTCGTGATTTCGTTTTGGACACACAACAAACATATTTTCAGGTTAGAAATTGGCAGAGGAGGGCGGCATTTTATTTGGAAGCACTCTTTCCATTGGTTCTCTCGAAGAATATTGCCGCTTACTGCTGTTTTTCTGAAATTACTTCATGTTTTTTGCACTTACGACTTTCGCACATGTCGATCAAAACGATAAACAATAAAAATAACATTAAAACAACAACAACTTCATTAAAACAATGAAAATAAGATGAATTTTTCTGTTTTATTTATTACAGTGAATTCATCTGAAAGAGACGACGAATTTTGGAGGAAACTCGATTTCGAAAATTTGACACTTACTGCTCTCTTCGCTATCACGGCAGACATTATCTTCCTTAAATTAACACACTTTGACCTAGAAAATTGAAAATTGGCACATTCAATTTTCTTACAATTAATCCTCAGATGCCCAAGGCTGGTCAAATCGACCGCGGAAGCTTGTTTAAAACACGTGGCGCGCAGTTTGTGGATACGGGACACACGAGACTTTAGATATAAGTCTAAAAATACATCATAAATAAGAATCTGACATCCAATGGGGAAAAAAGAAAAAAATCGAGTGTCAAGGAAGTTTTTTGACTATACTACCCCTAGAAATCCCAATCCGGGTCAAATTGACCAGACTATCACTTTTGAGGGTGTTATGGTACCGGTATATACGAGCTTTAGTTATAGGTCTATGAATATATTTTAAGACAAGAATCGGACCTCAAATTTAAAAAGAAAGAAAAATAGAGGCCGAAGACAGGAGAGCCGTATTCGGGTCTCACTTTTTAACATATCTGGACAACACTTCATCAGCAGCATAGAGCAGAGCATCGCGAGTTCACGCCTCACGCCATCGCGCCTTCAATTTTGCTCATGCAACACGGACATCCATCAAGCACGAATAGTTGTATCTCTGCGCCGTCATCACTGCGCGTCCTTTCTCTTGCTCTTTTTCCATTTTGAATTGGTTCCATTTGTCATCGAATTTCAGACACCTGGAAATTCTCCACTACCAATATGTCCGTGCTCTCTCTATATAGATACTCCAGTATTCATACGGCGTTTTTCCTCTAAACGGTGGTATTTTTCAATGTTACGGAAGAACGCTGCGTATGAACATCCACGAGTTGCCAAATTTCCTCCGGCAAAATTTTCATTTTTTAGGAGATTTATTAGTATTTTTCATCGAAATTTTCAGACTTTTTAGATCAAATTGTAGACAAAATTACCCGAGAAATTGGAAGAAAAATATTCAAAAATTTTCTTGAAAATTAGTGGAATGATTAGTCAAGGGAAATTTGGCAACGCCTGAAGGCTCATACAGCGTTTTTCCTTTGAACGGCATTATCATAGAGTAAGATTTCCATCGTGACAGAATCGGATTCATTTTTGAGAAGATTCATCATTATCTTTCTTTGAAAGTTTCAGACTTTTTAGATCAAATTGCAAAAAAAATTACCCGAGAAATTGGAAGAAAAATATCCAAAAATTGTCTTGAGTATTATTCATTCGTCAAGGGAAATTTGGCAACGCCTGAAGGCTCATACGGCGTTTTTCCTTTAGAAAATCACGAGTTTCCGGGAAAATTTGCAAATATTTTTCTTCAAATTTTTCAGGTAATTTTGTTCGCAATTCCACCTAAAGTTTTTTTTTTTTTTTTAAAAAAGAAATTTTATTTAAATATATCGTAACTACTACAAGTGTTTCTTGTATCTATCTACGTGGCTTAAAACTAAAACTTAACAAACTGCATTAATTTTATATGTTAACGTTAGATAATACTATGATTATCTAAAAGAACAGGAATTGTAAATTCTCTGCCTTCTTTCTTAAATGTATTATAACATAAAGGTTTTTAGTTTAATGGTTTTGCATTCTTCCTTTCACCCTCATTCACACTCCATTCACACTCTCACTCATACCTTACAGACTACTTAAATCTTGATGGGAGTTCAAAGGTCTCCCACCTTTTTAACCTTTTCACAGGTATTGTACTATCTAAAAGGTTTAAAGCCTCTACATT